GAGGACCTGGCCCGGCTCAGGCGAGTGGGCACTTGGGGTTCCTCATATCCTGCCCCACCCTCATCTTTGCAAATGTGTAAATGATCTTCCTCCGACAAAGGTTTTTACCCCACAAAGATCCTTTGGCTGGAGAGGCCGGTGAGGAGTGCAAATCAAGTGTCCCCCCCACCCCACCGGACATGTTTTCTCATTGGCAAAAGGTTCCCGCTGGATGCGGGCCTGGTGCTGCTTTGTAGTTCCCAAGTTACTGACGCCCCAGTTTGGGGGGTGGGTAGGTAGATACTGGGGATTAAAGCCAGGGCTCTGAGCTGCATTCACTGCCCGTTTTACGTTTTATTTTTGAGACGGGTCCTACTAAGTCACTAAGTTGCTCAGGCTAGGTGCAAACTTGTTAACCCCCTGGCTCTCAGAGCGCTAGGATTCAGGCGTGCGCCCTGTTCCATGGTTAAAGCTCCCAGAGGTTGGATGCCTTGCCCCAGCTGTCCCTGCAGCCAGTGGCAGAGCCAGCCCAGGACTCCTTCATCCCCAGCTGCTCACCCCCACCCTCCCTGTCCCCACAGGCTGGTGTGTGACAGCTCCGTGCTATTGTGTCTCAAGAAGAGGTTTCACCTCGGCCGCATCTACGTATGGGGGCTTCAGGGAGGAGGGTGGCTGGGATTCATCTCCTCTGGGGACAGTGGCACCCTGAACCTTTGAGGCCCCTCAGTCCTGGGCTGGGCGTGAAGCCCTCTGTCTGGAGTCCTGCAGAACAGAGCAGGGCTGGGCAGAGGGCATCAGAGCTCCCCACTTACTTTCCCCTGTTCCCTCCATGTCCTGATGGCAGCTTCTGCTTTCTTCCCCAGACATTTGGGGGGCCCCTCCTGCTTGCACTGAACCCCTACCAGCCCCTGCCTCTCTTCTCACCTGAGGTCTTGGCCAGCTACCACCCAGGGAAGGCCCCCAACACCATTCCGTAGGTGACTTTGTCCCTGTGACCCTGTGCTCACTCCCAGGTGGCCAGACCCCAGCACATCCAGTGACTGAGTCCCGGGCCTGTGGGCACAGCCAGCCTACACCTGGGGCAGACTCCAGATACCCATCTGTCTCCACCTGCAGACACATCTTTGCCATCGTGGCCGCAGCCCACAGCCTGTCTCAGAGCCCAGGCCAGGACCCCTGCATCCTCCTGGGGTGAGTCCTGCCATCCTGCTTGGCTGAGCCCAGACCGAGGGCCTACAGGCCTGGCACTGTGGGTGGCAGCTGTGGACTTTATCAGGGCCATGCTCCCGAGATCGTCACACATCGCCTTTGAGTGGCACTTCTGTTTGGCCCCCGTGCCTCAGTTCTCTCTTTCCACATCTCTGGGGATCTTCCGTAGGGTAGGTGTCTCTTCTAGGTGGCACATCCCCAGTGCCCAGGCTCAGCGGGGCTGTCCCCTATGCCCTTCCTGGACACCTTCCCAGTGGCCTTCACCCATGCATAGTTCTCCCCTCCTGCAGGGGGCGCAGCGGCTCAGGGAAAACAGAAGCCACCAAGAGGATCTTGCAGTTCCTCAACAGCCTGGAACAGGCCCACACCGGGGAAGGCGGGTGCCGGGTGAGGCTGGGATGGAGGTTGTCTCCCAAGGGGCAGCTGGCCATTTCCCATAGATAGACCAGGCTCCTCCGTTAGGCCAGGAGGGTGGCGGATTAAAGCCTCTGGCTTCTCCTAGGGCATTAGTCACAGGCCTGGCCTGCTCTGGAGGCAGAGTGGGGCTCTTCTGATGGGACTGCTAGGGGTTTGGACAGCACAGGCAGCAGGCGTAGAGAACCCTCAGTGGATGGTGGGTACCATTGTCCCAGGGATACCTGAGTGACCCTCCCCCACACAGCTGAGTGACCTGCTGCCGGTCCTCGGTAGCTTTGGCCACGCCAAGACCGTCCTCAATGCCAACGCCAGCCGTTTTGGCCAGGTCTTGTGTCTCTATCTGCAGCAGTGAGTGATGGGGTCCCAGTGGGCATGGTGCTACTGGGAATGCATTGTCCTTCCTGGGCGAGGCCTCTTATTGTGTACCCTGGGGCCCCAAATCTGTCTCCTGTGTCCACAGTGGGGTCATTGTGGGAGCCTCTGTATCACATTATCTGCTCGAGACTTCCAGAGTGGTGTTTCAGGTAAGCGCCACCCTCCTGTCCACCCCATCACAGGTCCCAGAGTGGGAAAGAAAAAGAGGGCTGGGGCTCCAGGCATTGCTCCCCTAACCCATCCCTGCTTCCCAAGGCTCAGGCTGAGCGGAGCTTCCATGTTTTTTATGAGCTGCTGGCGGGGTTGGACCCCATGGAGAGGGAGCAGCTCTCACTTCAGGGACCAGAGACCTACTACTACCTCAACCAGGTGGGGCACCCCCTCACGTGCAGGGAGGGAGCTGCCCAGACAAGGTCTCCACCTCAGAGGAGCCAGATGGAGGGGGCTGGGGGAGGGCCAGGCCCTGCCCCCAGCCCCACTGTGCCCCGCAGGGCCGGGCCTGCAGGCTCCGGGGCAAGGAGGATGCCCAGGACTTTGCAGGGCTGCTGAGGGCCCTGCAGGTGCTGGATTTGTGCCCCAAGGAGTTGACCGCAGTCTGGGCCTTGCTGGCCACTGTCCTGCAGCTGGGCAATATCTGCTTCTCTTCTTCAGAGGTGAGCTTCCCCTATGGGCAGAGCCAGTGGTTGGTTGCATGATCAGGACAGTGACAATGTTACCAAGCCCTTGCGTACTGGAAACTACAAAGCTCTGGGCAAATCCCCATCCTACAGATGAGAAAGTAGCTCTGCTGCTTCTACATCTTCCCAATGCCTCTTCCACTCAGCTGCCCCTAAGAAGAGTACTTGGCATTAACTGAGCAGCTCTTATGTGTGTTTTCTAACTTAGTTCTTATGAGAACCCATTACTGTTTCCCCTTTAGCAGTAAGCCAGCAGAGGCTCAGGAAGGGAAACAGACTCACAAATCTGCCTGGCTAGTAAGGAGAGAAAGTCAGGACTCCGCACTGAAGACCCTCAGACCCAGGGGCTGGCTCTTAATGGCCCAGATCTTCCACGTGTTACTGTCCCTTTGGGTCACAAGGCAGTTTGCTACCTGTCCCTACCCTGGGGAATACGTCCACTCCACAAGCAGAGCCCTCCCTGTCCCCTGCTCCATTCAGCGGGAATCCCAGGAGGTGGCAGCAGTGTCCAGCTGGGCCGAGATCCACACAGCAGCCTGGCTGCTGCGGGTGCCACCAGAGCTCCTGGAAGGGGCTGTCACCCGGAGGGTCATGGTGAGCCCAAGGGTCCTGGGGAAGTGGGGAACAATCCTACCACCTATGGGCTGGGTGAGTGCCTGCAAGGCTCTGACAGGCCCCTCCTCTGGCCTCCAGGAGACACCCTATGGCCGGGTCTCGAGATCTCTGCCCGTGGAAAGCGCCATTGATGCCAGGTGGCCCTGGGGACAGGAGAGTGGGGCCAGGCCAGTGCTGTGCTCTGCATGGCTGACTCCCAGTGCCTGCAGGGATGCTCTGGCCAAGGCCCTGTACTCTCGGCTCTTCAACTGGCTCCTGAGGAGGATCAATTCACGGCTGGCACCCCCTGGGGAGGGAGGCAGCAAGCGCACCATCACTGTCGTGGACGCCTATGGCTTTCAGGTCAGCCCTCAGGGTGAGACCCAGGATGGGGGAACCCACTTCATTGTGTTATATTTCTGGGGGATGCTAGCTCTTGCTGAGCTGCCTGCCTGTCGGGTTGGGTCCCTTCTCTGTCTCCTTCCTCAATGACTCCTGGGCAGCTGAGGGCTACGTAGCACCAGGATGAGGCTGGAATCCTGAGGATGGAAGGGCAAGGGAACAGGCTGTGCCTCTGGGGACTCAGGTGACGCTGGCAGGTGACCATGGAGCTCTTGCATCACTCACCTCCCAAACGTGTGCCTGAGAGAAGGATATCCCTGCCACGTGTACCTGTGCATTTCCAAGGAGGGGCTCTGCTTCTGTGGTCCCTCCTGGCTTCCCTCTGGGTTCCTCCCACTAAAGAGCTGGGGCTCTGGAAGCTCTGAGGCTCTGAAAGGTTTGTGTCTGGCAGCTCAGGAGCCCTGTGACTTGTGCAAGTGCATTAACCTGGCTGAGGACAGCATTTCTGTCCAGGAGGTAGGGCTCATAACAGGAGGGTCCCTGAGAACTGCCTGCTCCTTAGGTGCAGCCTTTCTGCCCTGCCCTGCCCCAGCGTTTGCTCTGAAGTACTCTGTCCCTCTTGGCCTCGCAGGGACCCTCAGAGGCCCCAGAATGGACCGCACACAGCCTCACCTCCCATGAGCCCAGGGGGAGGGCCGAGGGAGAGTCTCCCATCCCTTCCTGAGTTCCCACAGCCTCTGCACCCCTTGCCAGAAGACTCCCCTCTTTGAGGCAATGGGGAGGCTGGAGGGAGAGGAGAAAGCTGCCTTAGACTGTGAATGCATAGCATTCAGTGCCCCCATCTGTGTCCTCGGTGACCTTGGTCCTTGATGTGTGTCCTTGGTGACCATCCCTTGTCTGAGAGGGAGTGACTGTGCTGAGTGTGCACTTGTGCATGTGTTTGGGGTGTGCAGCCTCATGCAGGGGCACTTGGCTGGGCTTGGAGTCCTGGGGCTGCAGAGGAAGGCACACAGTCCCCTGGGAAAAAGCTGGAAAGGCTTTGTGAAGGCCACAGCCAGGGGGCTCTGCTTATGAGGATGTGCAGTTCTCATAGTCAGCAAGCTAAGTAGCCAGCAAAGGCACGTTCCAGACCCCAGGGTGGCTGAGACCAGAGCCATGAAGGCTCACAGTGGTACAGGAGCAGGGAAGAGGGCTGTGTGCAGCCAGAGAGAGGCTGGACATGCAGTGGCCCCTGCTCTGTGCCAGGACCTTTGGACTTGACCCTGAAGGTTGCAGCATCAGCTCCGGGCACCCCTGGAGAGAAGGATGGGGCGGCCCCTGAGGAGATGATGAAGGGCTCAGGCCCTGTATGCAGCCCCACCTACCCTCTGCCCACCCTCTGTGTATGCCCACCTCACTGCCCACTGCCCCAGGCGCTGCAGGTGAACAGTCTGGAACAGCTGTGCAACAACCTGGCCAGCGAGCGCCTACAGCTCTTCTCCAGCCAGACGCTGCGGGCCCAGGAGGAGGTAGGGAGCCGGCTGTAGCCCTGGACGGGCCCCTGGGCATTGCCCAAGAGTGGCCACCTCAGTAAAGAGAGTGGTACCTTAAGAGCTGGGTCCCAAAGCCCACTTTCCTTGGGGAGGCTCCGTCCTTCTGGGCCCTGGTTTGCTCATCTATAAAGCGGAAGCTCACCCCTGCGCCAGCTCAGTGAGTCCCTGGAAAACACTGAACTATTAATGGCTGAATGCAGCCAGGTGTGGTGGCTGAGGCCTGGAATCCCAGCACTCTGGGAGGCGAAGGCCAAAGGATTGTAAGTTCGAACCCAACCTGGGCAACTTAGTGAGACCCTGTCTGAAAGTAAAAAGATAAAAAAGGGCTGGGGATGGAGCTCAGTGATTCAGTCCCCAATATTGAAGGGAAAGGGAGAAAAAAGGCCAGATGCAGGCTGTTCCAGGAGGAGTGTCGGCGGGAGCTGCTGCCCTGGACGCCCATCCCTCAGCCTCCATGGGAGTCCTGCCTGGACCTCTTGGTGGACCAGCCCCACAGCCTCCTGAGTATGCTGGATGCCCAGACATGGCTGTCTCAGGTGAGGGCGGGACAGTGACCCCAGTATCGGGGGTAAGAGGTGGGGGCCCAGAGCAGCAGGATGGCCTGGGGGACAGCAAAGCTGAATGTGGGAGCCCCTGCCCACAGCCGCTGGACACAGCCTGGGAAGGACACCAAGGGGAGGCCCTCTCTCTCGTCTCACCTCTGGGGGAGCTCAAGCAAGATCTTGAGCTCTTGGGCTCTGGGGCTCAAGTCCTTGCCATAGGAGGGAGGTCAGTAGTGCCCGATGAGCCGGGCTGGGGGCCTGGGCAGGGGTCACAAAGGACTTCTGCGGGTCCTCTCTGATGGTGGCCAGGTGTCACTCAGGCCTCCAACTGTAAGGGACAAACCTCAAGGCCGTGTGCATGCATTCTACAAACACCTTTTACCTGACATCTGCTCGCTCTACCTAAATATTCCTCCTTATGCTTTAGCCTCATTCTTTATATTTAACACTCACAGCTAAGTGTGATTATGGAGCAGATTTATTCATGTACTCTTTCCTCTGTACTGGACTAAGTTCTGTGAGGACTGGGGCCTTATATGAGGCTTCCAGCTCTGTCCCAGCACATGTTCAGGGCTCCCTAAAGAAGGAAGGTAGGGGACCATACTAAGGATAAAAGGTGATCATAGACCAAGTCTCTCCCTTCTTGAAGCCCACAGTATAGCACGAAAGAAATGTTAATTTTAATTTTTTAAATGCCCAGGCATGGTGGTGTGAGCCTCTAATCCCAATATTCAGGAGGCTGAGGCAAGAGGATTTCAAGTTTGAGGCCACCCTGGGCTAAATAGTGAGATTTTATTTTCAAAGAGAGAGAGAATCCTAGGTACTGTATTGCACATTTGTAATCCCAGCACTGTGGGGGTCTGAGAAAAAAGAATCACAAGTTCAACCCCAGCCTGGGAAATTTAGGGACTTACCAAGACCCGGTCTCAAAATAAAAAGCTCAGAATGCAATGAGTTGAGGATATAGCTCAGTATGAAAGCGCTGGGTTCAATCCCCAGTACTGGGGGGGAAAAAATCATTTATTAACACATATTTGAAATTCCTTATTAGGTATAACAATGTATATAATTGTTATATCTAATCATTTATAAACTTGTAAATAATTGTTTTTCCCACTTCACATTCCAGAACATTTTATTAAAACTTGTCACAGGTGTCTTTGAGGTCCAGGGCTATTTTTGGAAGAACCCAGCAGGGTTTTCCTGGACTTGACACCATCCATTAAGTGCATTACTTGGAATGTAGCACCATGTGCGTCAGAGGTGGTGCTGGCCCTAGAATTATCACCCCAAGTGAATTATCACTTGCATGGCACTAAGGTATGTTCCCTCCAGGCCTTTGCCGCTGATGTGCTGTTCCTTAGCTCTGTGAAATAACCTCCACTGAGGTAACATTTTGTGGTTTTTTTTTGTTTTTTTTTTTTTTTTTTTTTTTTTGTTTTTTTTTGGTTTTTCTCCGGTACCGGGAACCAAACTCACGACCTTGTGCTTACAAGGCAGGCGCTTTTGCCGCTGAGCTAAATCCCCAGCCCCCCTAAATCCCCAGCCCCCGAGGTGACATTTTGAATATGACTTTTGGCCTGGAGATGTAGCTCCATGATAAAGTGCTTGCCTAGCCTGTGTGAGACTGTAGGTTCCATGCCCAGCACTGCAAAAAAAGAAAGAGAAAGACATTTTAGTCTTGGAATTATGGGACCATACTCCTCGGAGTGACAAATGTGTCTGCCTTAAAGCCCCCACCACCATTTCCTTTAAATGGCTCAGTCAGGTTTCTTCCACGACCACCAAAGCTTGTGTTGACGGAGATGGTTGTGGGGCGAGAGCACCACGTCTTTCACAGATGGTACTTGACTGTGTAAAGTCACTGAGAAAAAGAGATAATACTCTTTATAGAGACTCAAATGCAGAGTGCTGCATCCCGCCTGAGAGAGAAGTTGAGGGAAGGGGACTGTACTACCTTCTACTCAGGCTGTGTCATACTGCCTCGGGGAGGGTGAGCAGTGCAGGCGGGGACTGCACGTACAAAGCCTGAGGGATGCTTAACTCCACCCCTTATCAGGCCACGGACCACACCTTCCTCCAGAAGTGTCACTATCACCATAGTGATCACCCAAGCTATGCCAAGCCCCAGCTGCCCCTGCCCATCTTCACTGTGCGACATTATGCTGGGACTGTCACCTACCAGGTATCCGGCCTCGGGGACAGACTCCAGGTGAATCAGTGAGTCATTGTGACCTTGGTGTCCCCTCCCAAACTGAGTCACTGGTAGGTGAGGGGAGTGGAGGAAGGGAGGCCCGTTCTGAAGCTTGGCTGTGTGTCGCCACCTAGACCACAGGCCCCACCCAGACCCAAGTGTGACTGGGGGAGAATTATGGAGTGGGGGAGTCAAAGCCTTGGGACCTTCCAGATGTAGAGCAGACCACGAGCCTGGGAAATACTTTGCTAACAGCTGGGTCTGAGAACTCCAACTGTTTACTTTGCCTTCTGGGTCTCTTTCCTCTCTGTAAAATGGGTACAAAAACCTAGCCTACAGTAAGACCAAGAGGCCTGGAAAGTGCTCACTGAGGGGACATCCCTTCGAATTCCATGTCACCAGGGAGGCTTTTTCGCCTGCCCAGCAGGATAGCCACTGAGGGGGTGCGGGTCTGGTCCCCAAGGAGAGACAGTGTGACTGGCAGTTTTGAGGTAGGAAGAGTGACATGGAGGAGGTGGCATGCTCTGGTTGTAGGAGTAAAAAGAAAAACTACCCAGAAGTTGCTCAAACAAGAAATACAATCAGCGGCAAAAGCGCCTGCCTGGCAAGCGCAAGGTCGTGAGTTCGGTTCCCGCTACCGGAGAAAAACCAAAAAAAAAAAGAAATACAAGAAGTTGGAATGAAGGAAACTAAAGCTGGGGTTGTAGGTCAATGGGTATAAGGCCATGGGTTCCATTCCCAGCACTGAGAGAGAAAGAGAGAGAAACACACACACACACACACACACACACACACACACACATTTCAGTGGAAACAGTGTGATCTGTTCTTACATAGTTATTCTAGAAAAATAATGCAATGCTGTGGTATAACTCTTATAGGAGAAGGGTTTTGTTAAAAATTAACATAACCAGGCATGGTGGCACAGACCCGTAATCGCAGCACTCTGGGAACTTTCTGTTCAAGCTCAACCTGAGCTTTTTTGTTTTTTGTTTTTTTGGTTTGTTGGTTTGTTGGTTTTTTGGGGTTTTTTGAGGCAGAGTCTCAGTTCAGCTTTGAACTTACTATGTAGGCCAAGCTGGCTTTGAATCTATGCTCCTCCTGCCTCAGCCTCTCTAGTGCTGGGATTATAGGCATGCACCACCACACCCAGCCTCAGCCTGAGTAATTTAGACCGTGTCTGAAAAAGTAAAAAAGGGAGGTTGAGGATATAGTTCGATGTAAAGGCTCCAGGTTCAGTCCCCAGTACTGCACACATGAGTGAAAGAGAGAAATTCAAATTTTATCCGGAGAAGAAATGCATGGGAGTAATCCACGAAAGACTGAAGCAGAGGATGAAGGAGGGATTTGCTGTACTAGACAGGAAAATGTATCGAAAGCCAAGGACTAAATGCGGATGGCATTGATAAGCAATGGGCCAACTAGTGGATGAAACAGAAAGTCTAGCCGCTGCCACAGGTGTGTAAGAGTATTGGCTTCACGACAGGGTGGTCTTGTGAAGCATGTGGGAGAGGCTATGCTCTCCCAAGAAGCAGTTGGCCACCTCAGCCTTTGTTCTGTGGCTCCCCATCCATCTCTGGCAGGTTCACAAGTTCTTAAACCGAAACCGAGACCACCTCGATCCCGCCGTGGTGGAGATGCTTGCCCAGAGCCAGCTGCAGGTGCCCCCTGGCAGCCCTCCCATTCTACCTTCTCCCTGTAGACCCTTGCCCAAGGCGCAGCCCTGAATCCCCAGCGCCCTGGGGGGCTGGCTCCCCAGGGCTGCGGGACGGAGTGGACAGGTTGGGAGGCAGGCAGCTCAGCCCCATCTTGCTCGCAGCTGGTCAGCAGCCTGTTCCAGCAAGAAGAGCCCCAGCAAGATAAACCCACGCTGGCCTCCCGCTTCCTACAGTCCTTGGGGGACCTCCTAGCAAGGCTGGGCAGGTGAGAAGAGTGACCCCGACTAGAGATCCCACGGAGGGCCGGGGATGTAGCTCAGTGGCACAGCGCCTGCCTGGCAAGCGCAAGGCCCTGAATTCAATTCCCAGTACCAAAAAAAAAAAGAGAGCCCCCAGAGTTGGGGGCCAGGTGCTGGTCTGTGCTCAGTGAACCCCCTTTACTCTGCAGGAGTCACATTTATTTTATCCAGTGCCTCAACCCCAACCCTGGAAAGGTGAGCCGCCTACCCCACCCCACCCCAGGCCCCAGGCCTCCCCTCTTCCTCCACTTCCTGGCTCCTCCCTTGGCGCTTTTGCCATAAACACATGGCCGCTCCTCTCATCCATTCTGTCTCTGGCCATAGATCCCAGACCTCTTTGATGTGGAACATGTGGCAGAGCAGCTGCACCAGGCTGGCATCCTGGAGACCATAGGCATCCGCAGTGCCCACTTCCCCATGCGCATCCCCTTCCGGGCCTTCCTGGCCAGGTAGGGCCCTGGGACATGGCAGCTAAGAGCCCAGTGACTTCAGGAAGGACAGATGAGGAGGGCCCCAGCAGGCCTGGCAGGCCCAGGGCGCCTTCCTTCTCTCCCTCCTCTCCTTCCTCTTTCCCTGTGTCTCCTTCCTCTCCTTGTTTACTGTCCCTCCTGCCTTCCCCAGCCCCTCTTCCACCCAGCAAGACTGTAGCGCCCGGTTAGAGAGGGGTGGGACAGTGCCTGCCCTGGGCGGCTTCCCGTGTAGAAAAGGATGAGTTAGTGAGATGGAGCTGGTGCACCAGGAGCGGAGCCTCTCAGATGGCAGGAGGGGTGGCCAAGCCAGCAATGACACACGGAGGATGAAGGTGGCTCGCTTTGGGGACTTTGGAAACGCCTGGGAAAGCTGGTGGCTTTGTTGTGTTGTTGTTTGCATATTTGTCCTCACCGCTGGCTACTGGCCTCTCGAAACCCCCTGAAGGGCTGCCTCACCCCAGGCACTGGTAGCCCCGTTTGTCATGTCATGATAGCCTTGGTAGCGTGGAGAGCCTGGCCAACGGGCAGGGCTAGAAGCAGGCAGCAGGTGTGTGTGCCGCTGTCCTTGAGGTTGTTCCCGAGAAGGCCAGGCCAGGAAGGCTCTGTCCCCGCCCTCTGGACCCTCTACGGCTGCAGCAGTTGCCACTCCTAGGAACCCTGAGCCCTGAGGCTGGGTGGAGGGAGCTTGGGGTGCTGCTGTCCCCATAGCACCAACAAAGTCTGTTTAATGATCTACTGATGAGCCACCCTTGCTGCCCTGTGTCCCCTTCCCCACCTTCTCCCTTCCACAGCCACACTTGAGACACACTGTGTTGGGGGCTGCTGGGCACCCAGGACAGACGGAAGCTGCAGGACCACACTCCCCTTGCTCCCACCATCCCGAACCAGCCTCAGGGCCCCCTCCATGCACAGGCTTCTCACCGCCCATCTCCTCTCCTGAGCCAAGGTCGCACCTCCCCATGCGTGGCCGGATGTCCTCACCCCGCTGAGTGCCTGGCTGTAACAGGCCTCCCAGACTGTGGAATGACCATAAAACTGGATCACTAGAGAGGAACTCAGGGGAGCCCTCGCTGTTCTGATGTAGGCTGTGTGTCCTTGGGGCAGGTTCCAGGCTCTGGGGACAGAGAAACAAGGCAGCTCCTCTGACCGAGAGAGGTGTGGAGCCATCCTCAGCAGTGTGCTGGGGGCTGAGTCTCCACTCTGTCACCTCGGAGCCACCCAGGTGGGTTCCGGCGTCTGTGTGCAAGCAGTCAGGCATGGAGGGAGGGGAGAGGCACCTTCAGGCACAAGCAGGGACCACTCGCGTTGGGTGGTCCTGCAAGTGCTGGCACGATGGAGTAGGGCTGGGTGGCAGGCTGCCCAGGGCACTCTGTCCTGGATACAGAGTTTGGCTGGAAGGGGAGGAGGCTGAGGCCAGGGAAGAGCAGGTGCACCTGGGCCCCTGCGCCTATCCCATCTGCAGCCACACCTCTGCCCACAGGTCCTCTTGCAGGAGCAGGGCTGGCAGCAGCTGGAGCGACTCTGGGCCCAGCGGCGCTCCCAGGCCTTGCTCACCCTGCGTCGTGGCCTCCGCACCTGCATCGCCCGCCAGCGCCTCCGCCTCCTGCCCCGGCTGCAGGCTCGAGTGCGTGGGCTCCAGGCCAGGTGGGCAGGCACTTGGGCCAAGGGCTGAAGTGGGTGGGAAAAGACCATTGGCTCCTCCTCCAGGTGGTGTGGCAGAGTCCAGGAGACAGAGACTTTCAAGATGAGTCGCCCTGTCCCCATGCTGTCTCATCAACTCTGGCTTCTCCTACCCACACCCATGCAGCCTCTGCTTGAATATTCCCAGGCATGAGAACTCACTGCCTTATGAGTCTGCCTGAACCTGCAGTTCTCACTCCTCCATTCTTTTTCCTAATCTTTTCTTCACCCTGAAGCACGAATGATTTTTTAGCCAGGTATAGTGACACACGCCTGTAATCCCAGCACTTGGGAGGCTGAGGCAGGAGGATCTCCATGAGTTTGAGGCCAGCCTGGACTACATAGTGAGTTCACAGCCAGCCTGAAGCCATTAGTGAGATCTCATCTTAAAAAACAAAACAAAACAAAGAAACAAAAAAAGAATGATCATTTAAAAGAATGAATCATACTCTGGTTTCTCTTCAGATCATATAAATCTTTCTTCCCTTAAAAGAATGAGTCAGGTTGTATAAGGTCCTGCCTACCTCTCCAGCCTGGGTTTAGGCCAGATTTTTACACTCCAGCCACTTGGACTTCTTAGTCTTATAATGTGACCCTTTCTGATTAACTCCTGTCTGCTGCATTAATGCCTGCTGGCCCTTCCCAGCCTGCCTTTGCTCATTCAGCAGCTGCTGCCAGGTGACCACTGTCTATATCACCCTTGCAGATGCTGGTGATGCAGGGATGCAGAGAGCAGGGATGGCACATCCCAGGCTAGTAAGGGAGTCTGATTCAGACAGCAAACCAGCCACCCACCACCCCAAAGGTGACAAGAGGGCAGAGAATCAAGTAAAGACTGGGGCCCTTGGAAGAGGGGGTAACCATCACCACTATCTGTATCCAAAACTTTCTACCACATAAACAGCAAATCTATAGCGTTTAGCATCCTGTCCTCTGCCCCAGCTCCTGGCAACCTTCATTCTACTTTCTGTGTCTATGAATCTGGCTTTTCTAGGTATTTCCTGGGAGCCGACTTACACAACATTTCCTTTTATGTCTGGCTTACTTTACTTGGCATAATAATTTTGTTTTTGTGGTACTAGAGATTAAACCCAGGGTCTTTACACCAAGCTACAGCCCACTCCTTTTTTACTTTTTATTTTGAGACAGGGTCTTGTTAAATTGCAAAATTGCCCAGGCTGGGTTCAAACTTGTGATCCCTCCGCCACAGTCTCCTAGAGTGCTGGGATCATAGGTGTGTACCACCACACCCGGCTTACCATAATGTTTCCAAACGTGTGTGTTAGAGCTTATATGAGGCATTTGTTTCTTTTTTTTTTTCCCCCTTTCTTTCTATTTTGGTTTTTTTGTTTATTTATTTTTTGTTTGTTTTTTGAGACAGAATCTCACTATGTAGTCCAGGCCACCCTTGAACTCATTATGTAGCTTCAGCTGCTTTGATCTCACAGCAATCCTCCTACCTTAGCCTCCTGAGTGCAGGAATTACAGGTGTGCACCACCATGCCTGGCTAGGATTTCATTTCTCTTTATGGCTCAGTAATATTCCCTTGCACAGACTGACTACACATTATTTATACCTGTTTATCTACTGATAGATATTTGAATTGTTTCCATTACTTATGAATAAAGCTGCTATGAATGTGGGTATACAAGTACAGTATCTATTCTAGTCTGTGCTTTCAAGCTTCTGTAGTCATTTGTTTGATGTTGAACTTTTTGAGGAGCTGCCCAACTATCTCCCACATCACCTTATATTCCTACTGGCAGTTTACCAGGGTCCCAGCTTCTCTGCATCCTTGCTGATACCTGTTATCTTCTGTCTTTTTAGTTATAGCCATCCTCATGGGTGTGAAGAAGGATATCACGGTTTTGCTTTGCATTTCTCTAGTGCCCAGGGATGTTGGATATATTTTCATGTCCTTCTTAGCCGTGAGCATATCTTCTTCAATAAAATGTCTGTTCAAGTCCTCTCCATGGTTTTTTAATTAGGTTATCTCTTTTTTGTTGAGCTGTAGGGTGCTCTTTATATTTTCTGGATATTAAGCCACTATTAAATATATGCTTTGCAAATACTTTCTATCCTGTAAATTGTCTTGTGTGAGTGTGTGTGTGGGTGTGTGTGTCAGAGAGAGAGAGAGAGAGACAATATATAATACAACAAGCACTGTTAATTTCCTACCACTTTGTAACTATTGTTTGTATTGTTCTTTTGCTATTTTGTAAAAGGTTGTCTGTCTGTTAATGTTTTCCTCCTTTTATTTTTAAAATTAAAAAACCAAAAAAATAAAAATAAAAGAGAGAGAGAGAGAGAGCTTTGGGGCTAGAGCCCAGGGCCTCACAAATGCTAGGCAAGTACTGAACCACACACCCCCAGCCCTATTTTTAAATGTTTATCTTGCACAGACCTCCTTTGATGAGTCCGGTCTTCTTATATCTGGGAAACTTTTGAAGCTATTTTATTTACATGTTTCCTCTTCCAAAATCTCTTGTTAGATTTTCAGTGAGGTTCCTTTTTAATTTTATAAAGTCTTCCTTGCCAGTAGAACACAGGGAAAGTCATTGATCCAAGGCTGTGGCACCTAATTAGGAGGGGACTGATTTGAGCCTGGGTAGTCTGGCTCAACAAGCAGATCTGTCTTAGTTATTTTTCTCTCATTGCTGAGACAAAATACACAACACCCAAAATTAAGGAAGGAAAAGTTTATTTAGCTCACAGTTTGTGGAAGTTTCAGTCCATAATCAGCTGGCTCCAAGGCAGGGTGATGTGGCAGAGGGGCAACAATTCAGGTGACAGAAAACAGCAAAAGTAGCAAGAGCAAAAAGGGAGAGAACAAACCTTTCTTCCTCCCTTATATTGTAAGCAGACTACCCATCCCCAGGGCGGGTGTAGCACTCACACCACTCCCTGCCCTCCTCTTTATTTAAACTTCTAAACTTCTCGAGTTGACACAATGTATCAACCGTTACAAGGTCTTAATCCTCTATGTTAAATAGGCTCTCAACCTACCTGTTCTTTTATGGGGTCCTGTGCTTTCCCTGTTGCTTCTGTTGAACATCCAGGGCCTTGGCTAATCAGAGTCAGGTTCCACATTAGTGTCCAAGCTTAGAGGACTCAGGTGTCAGGCAGGGAGTGTCAGTTTGGAGCCCTCATCCGTTCATCATCCCCCATGACCTCCAGGAAGCGATACCTCCGGCGGCGGGCAGCTCTGGCACAGCTGAACACTGTGCTCCTGGTGACCAGGCCCCTGCTCCAGAGACGGCAGAGGCTGAAGGTGACCGGGTGTGGGGAGGCTGCTGGGCTGAAGAGACTCGGGGTAAAAGCCGTGCAGCCTTCTCGGGCGAGTCGCTGAGCCTCAGCACTCAGCCTCTTAGCCCAACCTCCCAGGGACCAAGGCTCAGAGACGGTTGTTCCTTGAGCTCTTCCCTTTCCTTCTGCCTGGCCAGGGCAGGCAGGGGCCCTAGGAGGCCGCGGCTGCCTTCCTTCATGCTTCCCACACCCCTTCTCCCCTGGGGTTCCTTCCATTCCCTCCAGCCCTCCATGGGCCCCTACTCTTCCCCCTCTTGCCTAATGATTCCACTTTAAGGGCCATAAAGCTGCTCAAAGGTCAGCGCCCATGTGCTGCCCCCCTCCCTGGCCTCTCCCTGGCTGGACTTTGTCCCCTGGGACCATTTCTTCCCTTCTTCCTGCCCTCTTCCCGGTACCCTGGGCAGACAGGCAGTGACGTCCACAGCACAGAGACGGTGAGAGCTCAGAAGGCCGGGGGCAGCCAGGGGCACACTACAGGCCAGCCCCTGTCCCTCTGGGTCTGCTGTTCCTTTGCAGGTATCAGGGCCTCCTAAGGGCCCTAGGGACAGCTGACCTGCAGAGCTGGGGAGTAGCTGCTGGGAAGCTCATGGTGGGTCCTGACAGGGCGTCAGCTCATCCTATATCTCCCCACAGCCTGGGCATCAGTGTGGCCAGCACAGCAGCAGGATCTCGGGGACAGTGCCAAGCATGGTAAGTGGCCTCAAGTGGGAGGGGCCTCTACATGGAGTATGAATCCCCAACACCTGGCGCAGCTTAGGGGAAGCCTGGAGGCAGAGGTGTCACCAGGAATGTTGTCCCTCATGTGCCCCTGAGCAGAGGACTGGGTACCCATGGCTCTCCAGTGCCCTTTCTTCCCTAGGAGGGTTCTTGGGGTGCTGCTTGTGTAAGTACCCAGGACCACAGTCTTTAGTCTCCAGGGAGGATATTTATATCATCGTGGGAGTGAGGGGAACAGCGGGCCCCTCTCTTAGCTCCTGGTAACTTGGTCCTGTCCACCAGGAGCTGGAGCGCTTGGAGATCCCAGCTGAGCTGGCAGCCATGCTGAGGGCGGCAGAAGGTGCGTCTTACTGGTTTTGCGGCGGATCTACCTCTCCCGTCAGCTCCCCGCCGGCTTCCTGCTGACAGGGGCTGGTGACCAACGAGGACGGTAGGGTTGGTGCCATTTCAGGCATCATACCTGGTGTCTGTGCTGCCTCCCGGTGCTCCTTCCCAGGCCAACAGGATGCCCTGGCTGGAATCATCACAGAGACTCTTCCTCCTGAGGTTCCCTCCCGGCCCAGCCTGACCCTCCCACCGGACATTGACCTGTTTCCCTTCTCCAGCTTCATCTCTACCAGCTTTCAGGTGGGCCCCCAGGCCTGTGTGCTGCCCGCAAGCCCAGCATACCCCGTGTTAGCGCCTGCCATGTGGAAGCTGGTCGCTCCCTTTCTCTGCTTTCTGTAGCTGTCAGGGCTGTGGATGCAGCAAAACTGCTTTGAAAATATCCATTCAACCGAAAGAGCTCATTGTGGAGTATGATTTCAGTCTGTGAGGCCACACCTTTGTATACCTGTCGTATTATCCTGCTGTTGAAGTCATACTGTTAAAGAATGTTTGACAACAGAAACTGTCCAGGCTGCAGTGTGAAGTGCAAAAACAGGATTCAAAACTGCACATATGGCAGAATCCCAATTCTCTTTAAAAACAAGGGCTGGACTTGGTGCCACAGGGGTGTAATCCCACCATGCTGGAAGAGGGAGACAGGAAGATCACAAATTCAAGCCCAGCCTGGGCAATCTAGTGACTTAGCAAGACTGTCTTAAATTTTTTTTAAAAAAGACTGGGGATGCCTCTCAGTGTGAGGGCCCTGCATTCAATCCCCAGTACCAAAAAAACCCACACACCAAAAAAAACTAAAATGGGATGGAGTGTGCTGGGAGGTATGTCTCTATGCATAGAAATGAAGATAAGAGCTGAGCATGGGGGCATAATCCTTTAATCCCAGCATTTAGGAGGCTGAGGCAGGAGGATAACCTGAGTTCAAGGCCAGCCTGGACTACACAGTGAGTCCAAGGCCAGCCTGCACTACAAGGTGAGATCCTGTCTTTAAAAAAAAACCCAACCAACAAAAGCACAAGAAAGAAAGGCTAAAATGCTAAGTAAGGTTTATCTTTGGCTGTGGAATGTTAATGATAGTTTTAATTTTTAGTCTTTTCTGTTTTCTGCATGTATGGTTATGAATCTTCTAACCAAAGAGCTACTAAGATACATTTTTGAGCTAGGCATGGTGGCACATTCCTGTAATCTCAGCACTCAGGAGGCTGAAGCAGGAGGATCCCTATGAGTTTGAGGCCAACCTGGGATACACAGTGAATTCAAGGCTCACTTGAACTACATAGTGAGAGTAGTTTGGTCTCAAAACACCAAAATCAAAAGAAACAAACAGAAAGGCACATTTTTGTTGTTGTTGTTTTGAGACAGGGTCTCACTATGTAGCCCAGGCTGGCCTCGAACTCAGGGCAGTCCTCCTGCCTGAATGCTGGGATTATAGGCATGTGCCACCATGCCTCGCTAGAAGGACACATTTCTAAGATGGCTTTACATCCCAACCGCTCCCCTTCTCCCAAGGTGCATGTTTCTATGGGGGCCCCCCAAGACACTGTCCTTCCCCTTGTCAGCACAGAGGACAAGCTCTGTGTCACTCTCCTTCTCTGCAGGAGCCATCCCTGCCCAGTCCAGGGTGGCCTCTGGCCAAGCCACTGACTCAGCTGGAAGGAGAGAACCCTCAGCATGCCCTGGACATCAACAAGGTGGTAAGTGCCGCATCAGGGAGAGGACAGGGTCCCTCACGGGCTGGAGCAGCACATGAGAGTCCTGTAACTCCTGCCCTGGCCTGACTTTGTGTCATAGATGCTGCGGCTCCTGGGGTATGGATCCCTGCAGTCCTGGCAGGAGCAGACCATGGGCACTTACCTGGTGCAGCAGGGGCAGCGCCGGCCAGGGCTGAGGGACGAGCTCTTCAGCCAGCTCGTGGCTCAGCTCTGGCACAACCCCGATGAGCAGCAGAGCCAGCGAGGCTGGGCACTCATGGCCGTCCTGCTCAGCGCCTTCCCCCCAACACCTGCCCTGCAGAAGCCGCTGCTCAAGTAATGGGACCGGCCAGAGGGGACCTGGTGGATGGGGTTCATGCACGACTGCACTGCACAGCAGCTCTGTGCTGTCCCCACAGATTCGTGTCTGACCACGCCCCCCAGGGCATGGCGGCGCTGTGCCAGCACAAGCTGCTAGGGGCCCTGGAGCAGACCCCATTGGCCCCAGGGTTTGCCCGGGCCCACCCTCCCACCCAGCTCGAGTGGAAGGCCGGATGGCGGCGGGGCCGGATGGCACTAGACGTTTTTACCTTCAATGGTGATGGCCACCTCCCTCAAAAGCCTCCCAGGCCCACAGTGGAGCCAGCCCTGCCTCTACCCTCCCTGGTTCCTTCCTGCCTCTGCCTTCCTGCTGCCCCCCTCTGTGACTCTATTCTCCCTTCTGTCCTGTTTCTGGGACCCCAGGGACAGCCGCCCCTTGCCATCCGCTACACCCTGCTGTCCCTTACCCTGCCACACTCCCTCCCCTACAGAGGAGTGCTACTCAGCTGAGGTGGAGTCCTGGACCACGGGGGAGCAACTTGCTGGGTGGATCCTACAGAGCAGGTATGGGAAGTCTTGAATGGACAGTGCAGCCAGAGCTGACCATTGTCCCCATCCTTGTCTGAGCCTACTGTCCTACCGCACACCTCCTGGGGTCCAGGGACAGACGCTGCTCTCCAAAGGGCAGCAGGGGTTTTTGGGTGTCAGGGTCAGACTACAGACTCCAGATGGATTCACATCCTAATTTCCAAAACTAATCTATTTCCTGGTCCTAGCCTGATAGTTTTATTTTATTAAATATTAGTCACCTTGACTCTAGATGTCTGCATTCCCTTTCTATTTGCTTATGGTTAGGCCCAGAAAAGGACATGGTTCTTCCCCCTCCCCATTTTTTCTGATACCAGGAATCAAACTCAGGACCTCACACTTGCCAGGCAGGTGCTGTGCCACCGAGCTATATCCCCAGCCTAAGGACATCGTTCTGAAAAGCTGTGTGGAATTAGATTACATCAATCCAAGTGAACTAAGGTGGATTTCCCCCAGAAGTGATTCAAGAAGCCGAGATACCAAACAAATCCCTAACCTACTTATATGTCTATTAATCTTGGTTCAGCTTAGAGCAAATAAGTGGCAGGGAAGACTTCTACTGTGTGGATTTTTGAAGCAGGTTGAATAAAATGTGACAGAATCTATGGGTATGGACAATGACTGATGTTTAATTATGTAGAAAATAAAAGGGACTACTGACAGCTTCCAGATGGTGAGCAAATAGGAATCTAAACACAGGGCCATATGAGCACCCACAGTCCAGATTCTAACTTGCAGGTCAGACAAGGAGAGCGGTAGAGCTGTGGGATAACTGGGTGGGTTGTGAGGTGCTGGCTGAGTGGCTCCAGCGGCCCAGAAGCAGACCGTGCAAGGGCTGCAGGGGCCTCTAGGACTCCCTTCCCAGGGCCCTCCCCTTGATTCACCGTCCATTCCTTGTCCTGGCAGGATGGTCTTCCACCACACTGACCATCCTCCCACTGCAGCCCTTGTCCCACCTCACTGACCACCCTTCTGCTGCACCTTCTTGTCCCATCCAGAGGCCTGGAGGTGCCCCCGCGTGGCTGGTCCGTGTCATTGCACTCTGGCGATGCGTGGCAAGACTTGGCGGGCTGTGACTTTGTGCTGGACCTGATTGGCCAGACCGAGGATCCGGGGGACCCAACTGTTCCGCGCAGCTACCCCATCACCCCCCTTGGCTTGTAGGTGCCACCCAGCACCCCTGTCCCCAGCCTGCCCCTGCCCCCGCGGTTGCCCTTGCAGCCACTGTCACACTGTGGGGCATTGGTGCTGTTACAGCGCACCCCCCCAGGCCTCCTCCCACCTCGTTCCCACAAGCAGTCTCTGCATCTCATCCCCATCTGGGCTCTACTTGTGACCTCAGCAGCCCTTAGCCAGACCTACTCTCTCCTCCAGAGCCAGGGACATCCCGCCTGCCCCTGGTGTCCGGGCCCCCTCTTTGCCCCCAGGCCTTCCTCCGGGTCCAGCCCCAACACTGCCCGGCAGAGGCTACACAGGTAAGGCACACTGAAGTCGGTGAGTGACAGGGATGGGTGTAGGGCAGCCCCACCTCCAGCTGGATGCACCACCCTCTCCCTGCCCCCTAGGGGAGTCCCGGACGTCAGGGAGCCTGGATGGCTTCCTGGACCATCTCTTTGAGCCCGTTCTTGCCCCTGGCTTCGGTGTAAGTGTTCCCCATACACCCCCAGCCTACCCCTTCCCCCTGGGGTTCTGCTGCCCCTTCCCAGGCTCTAGCCCTGACAGTGTGACCGTGTCCCTTCAGGACCTGGAACAAGGCTGGGCACTGAGCAGCCGCATGAAGGGAGGGGGCTCCATTGGGCCCACGCAGCAGGGCTACCCCATGGGTAAGTGTGAGGCTGATTCTGGTCCAGCGCCTCCCAGGCCCAGGGGCAGAGGTGGGCGTGGTCTGGGGCCTCTCAGGCTGCCCGGATGAGATGGGAATTCCAACCAGCATCCAGTGGCCTGTGCTGTTGCCTTTGCTGGGGCTGGAGGAAGGTGGCATGTGGGCCTGGGTGGGGACTCACTTGTCCCCTTAGTGTACCCAGGAATGATGCAGATGTCTGGATACCAGCCAGCTATGATCCCTGCGCCCATGCCCATGATGCCAGCGATGGGCACAGTCCCTGCCGTGCCAGGTAGGGCTGAGCTGGGGTCACCGGGTCCCTTCTCAAGAGAGCAGCTGCCAGTTCTGAGACTAGAAGGAGGGCCGCACCAGGAGTCCGTGGGCACAGGGCCCTGAGGGCCTGAAGTGTGGCCATGGGGCTCAGCTGCTCTGGCCCACCTGTTGCAGCCGTGATGGTGCCGCCACAGCCACAGCCCCTGGTTCCCAGCCTGGACACGAGGGAGCTGGCAGTCCAGCAGCAGAACTTCATCAACCAACAGGCGCTACTCCTGGTGAGGGTGGCAGGGCCCCAGGGTTCTCCCAGGGGTGGGGATGGCAGGGGTGTGGCACAGGGCCAGCCAGGGCTCTTACCTGGCCACTGCCCATCCCCCTTAGGCCCAGCAGATGACCAACCAGGCCATGAGCCTGTCCCTAGAGCAGCAGACTCAGCAACGCCAGCACCAAGCCCCGGCCTCTCCAGCTGCCTCCCCGGCGCCACCCCCCGCTGTCACTCCCAAGCCCAAGAAGTCCCCTGCCCCCCAGAAGCAGCCCGAGTATGACTTGGAATCGCCCGGTGCCCGCTCAAGGGTAAAGAGCTGAGGCTCCATGGATGGCGGCGCTTGGGGTGGAGACAGTAGCTGCAGGGCTGCAGGGGTGAGACGTGAGCAGGAATGTTTGAGGGTGCTGTCAGTGTGGTGATGTGGCAGGCTGGGCTGCTCTTCACTTCTCCCTTCTCCCAGGAGACCTCAGAGGGGGCTGAAGACAGGACCTGGCACCCCAAGAGCTTCCAGCAGAAAAGGGACTACTTCCAGAAGATGGGTGAGGGTACTCAGGGTGACCTGGCCAGCGAGGCTGAGTGTCAGGCGGCACCCCCAGGAGCCCAGACAGGCAGGCCAGTGGAGCTGCTGGGCAGACGTGGGTGACAGAAGACCCTCTGCGGTATTTACAGGGCAGCAGCAGGTCACGGTGAAGACGATGAAGCCTCCAGCCAAGGTCCGGATCCCCGAGCAGGAGGAGACGGAGGAGGAAGAAGAGGAAACCAGAGAAGGTGGGGCTGGTGGGCAGGGCCTCAGGGCTCTCGCGCTTCTGCGCAGTGTTTAATCATGTCTGTCCTCTTCCGGTCAGGGCTGTCTCCTCCTCCTCCTCCTCACCCTGTTTTGAAGAAGCCACTGAAACAAAGTGGAGCCAAAGCTGCAACAAAGGCGGAGGGTGAGCCGACTGAAGAGGCCAGGCCTGCTCAGGGCAGGAGGCCTGCCGTGAGCAGCTCAGACCCCACGCCCCGGTCGGAGCCTAGCAGGGAAATTCGGAACATCATCCGCATGTACCAGAGCCGCCCGGGGCCCATACCTGTGCCTGTGCAGCCTATCAGGTGGGCCCAGGGGGCTGTGGCCGGGCCCTTGACTGCCCAGGGAATCACCCTGTGTTCCTAGTGACCAATTCTTTCTCTTGTAAGGCCTCACAAAAGTTTTCTTAAGAAAAATGACCCTAAGGACGAGGCTCTGGCCAAGCTGGGGATCAATGGTGCCCACTCACCCCCATCGGTGAGCCCCTTTCTGATCCCTCAGGGCATAGCCTCTAAGTCCACGGCTTTCGGGATAACTTTGGCCTTGCTCTCATGCCTTCTCTGTGTGTCCCCCTCACCAGACACTGGCCCCCAGCTTGGGGAAAGGCCCTCCACCAGCTGTGGCTCCTCGACCCAGGTCCCAGCCACGACATGAGCCCTCCCTCTCCATCAGGGAAAAGCAGGGGCCCCTCCGGGACCTGTTTGGCCCAATCCCACCCACTACCCAGGCACCCCCACCTCCACCAGCACCACCACTGCCTCTGCCTGAGGAACCCCAGACCTCTTCAGCAGAGCCTTGTGGTGAGGAACCCCATGTCTCCTGCACAATGGCCTTTGCTGGGGAGGGGGAAGGACTCCCAGTAGCCCCTTGGGACTCATGACGCAAGTGATCTCCACATGGCTGAGGTCAGCTGCTTGTACTTCCGGACTTTGGAGCCCTGAAGACACAGCTTCCTCGTTCCTGCCCAGGGCAGGGCCTGGGCACCCTGCAGCCTGGGCACTGAGGGGCTGTCACAAACTGGGTGTCACTTTCAAAGACCTGACAACTCCACAGGGAATTTAGTGACCCTGACAGGTGGAGTCAGAGACACCATGGAAAGTTTAGGACCAGAAGTGGAGACCGAAGATGATGCTCAGGGCGGGAGTGAGACAGGTGGAGGCTGACAGAACCAGACAAGGAGGGGAGTCTTCCCTCTCTGCCCCATCCTCCCCGCTGCAGCCTTCCCTAGCCTGAGGCTCTGCGCCCTTCCCCTCCAGCTTTGGCAAAGCCCATGGAGGACCAGGGGGTCTCCACCCAGCTACTCCTGCCCTCTGGCAGTGTGTGCTTCTCCTACACCAATGTACCCTGGAAGTTGTTCCTGCGCAAGGAGGTGGGCATGAGGGTGGGGCCTCAGCCTCTTCGGGCTGGCAGGGAGGTGGCAGGCAGGCTGGAGGGATCCCAACCTTGGACCACAGCATCCCTCCTCCTGACCCATCTTTCCAAGGCTCGTTTCTGGGCCTGAGAGGGCAGAGGGAGCTGGATAAGACAGAGACCTTCCAGACTCTGCTTTCTCATGTCTCCTTCAGGTTTTCTACCCCCGGGAGAACTTCAGCCATCCCTACTCCCTCAGGCTTCTCTGTGAACAGGTGAGAGCCTGGCCCACCTGCCAACCTGCCACATCTGTATCTTGGGGCCCCAAAGCCTAACACCTGGGCCAGGGTAACACCTGCGTGAGGGCATGATGGCAGCCAGCACCTCCAGGGTACTCTGTGCCTAGCCCTGCCTCTTAGCGTCCTAGGAAGCAGGGACCATGGTTAACCTCACTTTACAGAGCATACACGGTACACAGCCCAGGCACACAGTAGGGACTCCACAAATGGTTCCCTACTACCGCTGGATGCTCCTAAGACTCTGTCTCTGCTCCTCCAAGTTCCACAATGCCCCCCATGCTCCCCACCACATTCTGCTTCTTCAGGACAGCTTGTATCAGCTGACCCAGTAGTGGTGGAGAGAAGGGAAGGAGTGTGGGTGCCATGGGGGAGAGGCAGTGAGTCACCGTGAGTGGGCTTCGGAGGCCCCTCTCCCTGCGCCACCTGTGCCTCTGTGGGAGCACTATAGGGTGAGGGCGCCCTCTACTGGGCCCTCCAACCTCTCCTTTACGCGGCTCTGGGATGGGCCCTGGCTTCAGGACCTGGTAGTGACCACCTGGCTCTGTCCGCAGATCCTGCGGGACACCTTTGCTGAGTCCTGCATCCGGATTTCCCAGGACGAGCGGCACAAAATGAAAGACCTGCTGGGTATGGGTCCAAGGATCCTGGAGTCAGGGAGCTGGAGTTCTGGACCTGTCCCAAGGGAAGAAGGGGCCATGGGAGCACTCTACAGAGAGGGGTGGCCTAAGGACAATCTGGGCCCCTCTTACCCACAGGAGACTTAGGGGTGGGCCTGGACTCCCTCACTACCACTGAAGACAGTGTCAAGAAGCGCATCGTGGTGGCTGCTCGGAATAACTGGACCAATTATTTCTCCCGCATCTTCCCTGTTTCGGTCAGTGATGCTGGGGTAGGGTGTGGAGTGTCAAGCCTTGAGTCTGGGCTCCAGTGCACAGGCTGGGGCTGTCTACAGGCAGCGTGAGGGCTGGGGCAGCAGAAGGCCAGACAGCCACTGGCTCTTTGCAGCTTCTGGCATCTTGCTGGTGACATGACCCTGGAGCCTGCCCCTGACCCACCCACCTTCCTGGCAGGGCGAGAATGGTAGTGATGTGCAGCTACTGGGCGTGTCTCACCGGGGGCTAAGACTCCTCAGCATGACCCAAGGCCCCAGCTTCCACCTGGACCAGCTGAAGACACTCTGCTCTTACAGGTGAGCTGCCCCAGAGCCCAGGCTGGGAGCCGGGTACAGGATGGCCCTTGGCTCATGCCCCACCCTATGCACAGCTTTTCCGAGGTGCTGGGAGTGGAGTGCCGGGGTGACTCCACCCTGGAGCTGTTGCTGAAGAGTGAGCAGCTGGTGCTGTACACAGCCAGGGCGAGGGCCATCAAGGCCATGGTGGAGCAGTTCCTGAGTGAGCTGAGAAAGGCAAGCTTGGGCCAGGCGGGGGCTGGGAGGACAGTGAGCAACCTCTCCCAGGTGTAGCTCTCGCTGCCTGGCTCCCCTGGGTGGGCTGGGAGTTTAGGCAGAGTCCCGGGGTTTTGGGAGAGGCCAGCCCAGGGCAGGTAGTTGCTCCCAGCCTGCTCACCCTACTGCCCACAGGACTCTGGCTATGTCATCGCCCTCCGCAGCTACATCACCAATGACCACAGCCTTCTCAGCTTTCATCGTGGGGAATTAATCAAGCTATTGCCAGTGGCTACCCTAGAGCCAGGTATCCCAAAGGCCAGCAGAAGGGCCTGGCCCAGGGAGGGCACCCCACTGGCAGAGCCTGCTGAGGGGCAGAGGGGCCAGATGGGTGAGCCATTGTCTTGGGATGCCTTCTAGGCTGGCAGTTTGGCTCTGCTGGAGGCCGATCGGGACTCTTTCCTGCTGACACGGTGCAGCCAGCTGCTGCTCCTGATTACTCCTTCTCGTCAGAGCAGAAGAGCAGCTGGCAGCGCAAGAGTCAGCCACAGCTTGCAGAGCCAGGCCCAGCTCAGTGGGACAGGACCTGGGAGGTGAGGAAGACAGGAGGTGGAGGCCAGGCATAACTAGAAGTAGAGAAAGGAAAGAGTGTGATTGGCCGGGGCTTGCCCGCCACCCATGGCCTTCTATGTCCCAGTGGGTAGTGCCTGGTGTGTTGCTGTCCTTCCTGCCTGCTCTGAGCTTCCTGCCTTGTTTCACCAGCAATGCTGGGAGCCCGTGTGGAGAGGGGCTGGGCCCTATGCGCCTCTGCTCCCACAGCATACTTAGTTCGGTGCTGCCAATAAACAGTCTTGACTTTCTTGATTTCTGGTCTTATTCCTCTTGGATCTGGCAGGGGTGGGGATGGTGCTGGGGATCAGGGGCTCAAGGACGGGCCGTGGACACTTGGGTGGTACCAGATTTCCTGTGCTCCCAGAGCCCCGCCCACCCCCAGAGCCAGGCACACAGTGACGACTCAGAGGCCACCAGCCTGTACTCCTCCATGGTCTACACCTCTCTGTCCAATGATTCCCACAACTACACCATGCAGGAATTTGCACAGCACTACTTCCGGAAGCCTCTCACCTTGTGAGTTCCCAGGGCCAACCTCCGTACCTGTGCGTCCTCAGCCTCCCAACGAAAGCCCCCTGCCCAGAGCACCAGGCCAGTGTTGTCACCATCCCCTCCATAGCCTGAAACAAAGGCAGGCGGCCTGAACGAGCAGGGCATCTCCTCTGACCCCACAGGCTGGACCTGACAGGTGGAGGTGCCAAAGCGAAGGCCATGGCCAGCCTAGTACAGTACAGCCAGGTAAGGGGCCAGGTGGGGAGGAGTCTGGCCCACAGATCTGCGCTCCGACTCCCATGACCCCAGACAGAGGCCCAACCTCTTTGTCCACAGGCTCCCATCCAGGAATCACTCATCCGCCTCAGTGATGAGAACACAAGCAGGCAGGCTGTGGCGGGATTTGAGGGTAAGTGGCGCGGGCATCCTAGGGCCCCTGCTGCCTTGGACCTAGCCCCCGCTTCTCTCCTTGAGCGCTCCCGGGCTCTGCCCCAGCCTGCCAACTCAGGGAAGTTTGCTGGTGGCTCCTGGACACCCAGTCCTCCCCCACCCATGTTCCTACCCATGGGCTCAGTTGTGTGGAGACTGGGACTGGAAGACAATGAATGGGTAGAGCAGACACTATCTCTGTGTGTGAACTTGGCCCCCACAAAACTTTCCTGAGCCTGTTTCCTCCTCAGTAAAGCTGGAGTCAGCTGCCTAGCCTGGTGCGCGTGCCTTTGGAGAGTAAGACATCACATAGCGGGTAAAAGGCTGTGTACCAAGCATGTGCCAGGCCAGGCCCCGGCCCAGCTCACCATGCTCTTTATCCTGCCTGCAGCACTAATGCAGTTTATGGGGGACCAGTCTAAGCCCCGTGGCAAGGATGAGCTGGATCTGCTGTACAAGCTGCTGAAGGTAAGCAGGACACTGTATGTCACAAGCTGGTGCAGGAGGCCCAGAGTGCTTTTTTTCCTCTCCTGCCTGGGTCCCCCCTTCCCTCGGTCCCTTGGTTACTTTTTTTTTTTACTTTTTTTTTGGTTGTTTTGGTTTATGATTTTTGCTTTTTGTTTTAAAGACAGGGTCTTGCTTTGTAGTTCAGGCTAGCCTTGAGCTCACTTTGTAGCCCAGGCTAGTCTCAAACTAGCAACGATCCTCCTGCCTCAGCCTCCTGAGTGCTGGGATTACAAGCGTGCGCCACCACGCCCAGTTTAATGCTGGGATTATAGATATGCGCCACCACACTTGGCAGTTACTATTCCTTTTAATCATTCCAGAGTATGTGTTGAGCACTTACTACATGCTGGGGGCATGGCTGTGAAGCCAGTGGGCTAAATCCCTGCAATATGCACAGTCTCACAGGAGGAAGACAAGGACACTGCATGCCTGAGAGTAAAGAGCCCGTGAGAGAACACTAAGGCAGGGGAAGGGAATGCTGACAGAGTTCTGAAAAGCAGTGAGCCACGTCTACATGGGGACAGGGCCTTGGACGAGGGAGGGGCACAGGTGACAGTAACGAAAGCGAGCTTCAGCACCAGCAAGGCCAGCTTGGAGGATGAGGACAGTGAGAGGATAGTGTAGGTCCAGCTCACAGCAGGCCTTGTGGGCCAAATGTAAGAACTTTGATTTTTCAGTATCAGAGAGGTTGTAAAGAAAGACTTGGCCTATATCTCCCAGGGTCGCTCTGGCCATTCTCTGAGATTCTCGGGGGAGTGGGGGTTAAATGCAAGTGGAACACCTGTAATCCCAGCACTTGCAAGGCAGACAGGAGGACTGCTGTGAGCTCGAGGCCAGCCTGGGCCACATAACAATACTTGTCTCAAAACAACAACGACAAATAATACTAATAATAATAATAATTAAAGGCAAATGGAAATTACTACATTGTAGTCCACAGGCTCCCATCCAGGTTACTGGCTTGGCCTAAGGTAGCAGCCAAGAGGAAAAGTGGGAAAATTCAGACTCCAAAGGGCTGGCTGTGGGTGTGAGGAGCCACAGCAGTGACTGTCACTGAGGAAAAACAGGTCTGAGCTAGTGGTGGAGTCTGTTTCGGCTATGTGAAGTTGTAGACTTCTGAGTAGAGAGGGCCAAGGTTCAAGGAGAATCTGGGCTGGAAGCAGGCACCAGAGTCTGAGGTGGGAACAGCTGAGACCATTGGACAGGGCAGGGAAGGCCCCAGGGCCCTGTAGCATCTGGAGGATGAGGAGGAAAGGTAGAGCCAGCAAAGATGACTAAGAGACCACAGCAGGTAAAGCAAGTGACAAAGAGAGTGGTGGCCAGGCATGGTGGTGAAGATCTGTACTCCCAGCACTTGGGAGGCAGAGGCAGGAAGATCACTATGAGTTCAAGGCCAGCCTTAACTACACAGCAAGACCCTGTCTCAAAAAAAAAAAAAAAAGAGACAGAGAGTGGTGCTAGACATGGTAATCTCAGCACTCTAGAAGGCAAAAGCAGGAAGATTCCAAGTTTGAGCCTAGCATGAAGCAACTGAGCAATTTAGTGAGATTCTGTCTCAAAATAAAAACTAAAACAAGGGCTAGGGATGTAGCTCAGTGCAAAGACCTTGAGTTTGATCTCCAGGACACACACCCCCAGTAAAAAAGTAGCCTCAGCACAGGCATGTGCCTAGCACCTGAGAGAGAGAGAGAGACAGAGAGACAGAGAGTGAGGACTAGTTATACAAATGTCTTCATCTGCTGCCAGACCAAGCAGCAGCTGCTGGGCTATCACCTTGTCTTGGCGCCAGCCCCACTGCCATTCGCAGGATTTCTCCCAGACTTCAGACCCTATGCTGTCCCACTACTCCTCTGCCTTACCCCTGTCTTGCCCACCTGCCCTTCCCATCCCCACAGCTGTGCCAGGAGAAAGACCTTAGGGATGAAATGTACTGCCAGGTCATCAAGCAGATCACAGGACACCCCAAGCCGTGAGTGGGGATGGTGTGGGGGCCTCTGGGTCCAGTGTGGCACCGTGATCACGTCAGCCTGAAACCCAGGCTCTCCGCCCCACAGGGAGCACTGTGCCCGGGGATGGAGCCTCCTCAGCCTCTTCACAGGTTTCTTCCCCCCATCCACCACACTGATGCCGTATGTGACCAAGTTCCTGCAGGATTCGGGCCCCAGCCAAGGTGCTGTGGGAGGGGAAGGCAAATGGGGATTCCCGGGCTTAGTACTTGCTGGCTGGGGAGGAGCTTGGACAGGCTCATGACCCTCTTATCCTGGCTTCTTTGTAGAGCTGGCCCAGAGAAGCCAGCAGCACCTCCAGCGCACAGTCAAATATGGGGGACGCCAGCGACTGCCCCAACCAGGCGAAATTCGTGCTTTTCTGGTATTGGGGGTGGATGGATGGACCTTCTGGGACTCCCCAAGGGGAGGAGGATGTCTACAGGACAGCTGCGACCTCTGACTGCTGGTGACTGACCCTATGACCTTCCTTGACAGAAGGGGCAAGCAGTCCGCCTGATTGTGATTCACCTACCCGGGGGTGTGGACTACAGGACCAACGTGCAGACCTTCACGGTGAGGGGGAGGGACTGAGGAAAGAGGCCCTGGGCCTCAGCTCTGTGCCTTCCAGCCTCCCTGCCCCCATCATACCCCTGTCCACATGCCCAGGTGGCAGGAGAAGTGCTGGAGGAGATGTGCGGTCAGATGGGCATCACGGACCCTCAGGAAGTACAGGAATTTGCCCTCTTCCTCATCAAAGGGGAAGGTGAGCCCGCACAGAGGGAGGGAAGGGAGCCCAGGCTGTTTCCTGCTCACCAGGAGTCAGCATCTGTGCTGGGGCGGTGGGGTGGGCCTTGGGCAGTGTGGCCTGGGCTCCTCGTGCAGGTGAGCTGGTTCGGCCCCTGTGGCCCCACGAGTACCTCAATGCTGTGGTGGTGAACCAGAACATAAGCGTGCACAGCCGGCGCCTCAGCTGGGAGACCCCGCTGCACTTCGATCACCCCGTCTACACTGGCACCCACTATGCCCAGGTCAGCCCCTGCTCCTGGACTGCCATGCACTGCCCCTGCAACTTGAGGGTGGAGTTCCTGCCAGGGCGACCTCTAGGTTCCCTCCCCACAATGACATGGTCTGTGGCTTTCAGTCAGGTGGGGACCACTGACTGCTGGGGACTTTGGGGCACAGCCACTCCCTCACAGCCCTCCCTCTTCAGGTGCTGCGGGACTACCTACAGGGAAAGCTGATGGGCCGTGCCCCGGCAGACACTCAGCTTGCCCAGCTGGCTGCCCTCCAGCACCTTGGCAGGGCCAGCAAAAGCCCCCCCTCAGAGTATGTGAGCATGGCCCCCACACTTCCTGGCATGCCCCTTCCCACCTGGGCACCAGCCTACCCTCCCCACTCCCTCCTCCAAGTCCAAGGCCCCTCCATTTAACCTTTTCTGGCCCTGATCAGATTGGCCTGGAGCAGTAGATACTCGTCCTCTCCACCCTACTCCAACCTCCTCCAGGGCAGGGTGCTCACCTGGCTCATATGTGGGTCTCTAGTCTTATCCACAGTGGGCACCTGTTCAGTGACCTGGCACCATGTGCCCAGCCTTGCACCAACTGGTCCATGGTCTGTGGGCCCAAGCCAGAATGTGTCCCCTAGGCAAGACATGCTGGATTACATACCAAAGACACTGCAATGGCAGGTGAACATGGACATCATAAAGAGTTTAACAGGCCAGGAGCTGAGACAGCTACAAGGACACAGCCCCCAGGATGCACAGATCAGCTTCATTGGTAGGTCTAGGAAAAGTGGGCTGCAGGCCCAGCAGAGAAAGAGCAAGGGTGGAGAGGCAAGGTGGCTTCTAGGCTGCCTGTCCCTCACCTGCCCTAGGAACAAAGGCAGGTTCCAAGGCCCTCGAAGTTAGAACTCATGTTCTGGCCTTCTCTATCCCCAGAGGCCATGAGGCAGCTGCCCCTCTTTGGCTATACCGTGTACGTGGTGCTGCGAGTGAGCAAGCTGGTGCTTCCTGGACCCGCCCTCTTGGGGCTGAATCGCCAGCACCTTGTCCTCATGGACCCCACCTCCCAGGTGGACAAAGTTCCTCTCCCAGTACTGTCCTGGGGACCCTCGGGCCATTCCTCTTGCACCATGTTGACCCCCACCCCAGAAAAACCAAGCTCTGCTGTCTCTGCTGCCCTAGAAAATGTGCTGCTCCATAGCCCTGAAGGACCTTCAGCGGCTCCATCTGCTGAGCCCACTAGAGCCCAATGGGGCCCCTGGACTGGAGCTCAACTATGGCTCAGCTGACAGCCCTCAGACCATCTGGCTGGAGCTGCCACAGGTGAATACCCAGGGCTTTTGATGCCTTCTGGAAGGAGGATATGAATGCCTCCACCCAGCCCTGGCACACAGCAGGACCATGGGCTCAGGGCCGAGCCATAGCTCAGGGGCAGTGAGCGGGGCAGTGGTGGGGGCTGACTGGGGAGCAGAGTGCTGACAGGCCTCTCCTCAAGCAGGCTCAGGAACTACACCACACCATCATCTTCCTGCTGGATGGCAGCGCATCTTCCGCTCAGTGGTTCCAGTGGCCCAGCCTCAGCTGAGGGCCAGGAGACCTCTCCCTAGCCCAGGTCCCACCTGGACCCTCTGCCTTGGGTGCTAGTAGGTTGTTTTTAGTTTGGACCTACCTGGCTCTGCTCTGGAACCTACTACAGCATAGCCCGGCTGGCCCATGTGGAGACTTCATCTGACTTCAGATGGGAAAAAAAATAGCCATACTCCCTCTGGGGTGGGCGAGGGCCCAATGTGGGGGCTACAGGAACCTGGGTTGCACATCTAACATTGCCCAGCCTGGGGGAGATGCCTACCTGGCCCCAAGTACCCACCAGGGTCTATGTCAGCACGAGCCCAGACCTGGAAGAAGCTGCTAAGAAAATAAAACTCCTAAGAACAAAGGGCTGTATGTACATATATGTGTCAAGCAAACAATACTTTATTCCTGTTGTAAACATCAGTCAAGCCTGGCCTTCCTGACCAGCAGCTGAGCTGGGCATAGGGCCTGTGTACTGCCACCCTTCCCACCAGCTCTATACCTGAGGAAATGCTGGCATCTCAAGGGAAGTAGGTGAGCAGAGACCCTAAGCAGGCCTCATACCTTAGATAGGTGGCCCTTGCCCGTGGCTCAGAACTCGTTGAGTATGAGAAGGAAGGCCACTCCTGCTCTGCCCCTGGCAGCAGCCACACCACCTGCTACCTTCTAACCTGGGGATCTGACCCAGAAAACCCAGGTATGAGAGCTAGGAGACAAGGAGGATCTGAGGAAGGACCACAGGCTTTGCAAGCAGGAAGGCAGGCTGACCCTTGACCCCTGACTTGATTTAGGAAGCATCTGAAACCATCTCCAAAGTGAGCTATAGTCTGCAGGAGGAAGGACCCTGAGAAAGATGGTGCCCCTGGCACCAGCAGGCCTGCCCAGATTCCTACTTCTGAGCAAGGCCCAAGCTGGCCCATGAGTCTGGGGAGGTTGCCAGCTCTGTGAGGCCAGCAGCAGGTCATCTCTGTGGGCCACACAAGCTGTGCCAGTCAGCTTCGCTCTCACACCTCACACAGCCATGGAAAAATTGCTTGATGAGGCGCTGGGCTTCTTCCCTCACTGTGGATTCAGGACAGGTGGACATGAAGAGGTAAGGGCCAGTGTCCTCCCTGCAGATCCCCCCGCCAAGTACCCCCGGGCCTTGGCCATATTGGCACTCACCACTCCTCCCAGTCAAGGTCCTCTGAGTCAGCAAGTGTGAAAGGTGGCGGGCAAAACCTTTAAACAGCTCCTGGAAGGCAGAGAGAGGAAAGAGCAGAGAGCAGACAGCAGAGAGCAGGAGCTATCCAAAGCCATGACCAAGGGCAGGGCAGACCCAGGAAAGCAGGAGTTGGACTTAGTCTTAGACTTCACCTGCTCTGCCCTGTGTTGTTCTGGGGTGCATGCTCCCCCCTCCCCCAACTGCACCCAAGTTCCCTGGGGAAGGCAGAGTCCACCTATTCATCCTACCTTGGATGCAAACTTGCCCTCCTTGTAGAAGGGGGTCAGGTACCTGACCACAATATCTGCAGCCTCCTTCAGGGAGACGCCAGGAGCTGAGAGCTGGCAGGGGTGCTGGACTATGGCATTCAAGGTGCCCTGACCACTGGCTGAGGTGCTGCTCTTGCCCTCTGCTAAGATGGAGGGCTTGGCTGAGGTGCAAGGCCGCTTCTGAGCCGGGATCTCTGGGTTCTCCTAGACAGGGCCAGAGTGGAAAAGGGGGTGGTCACTTCCTTTCACCGGCCCCGCCCCTCCCTCTAGAAGACTATGCCTTAGCATCAGCTGTTCCCTCCAGCCTGTCCTATCTGCCTGTGGGCTGTGGAAAGAAGTGATGATGTCCCTGAACCCCTGACCAGGGAGAAGCAAGTCCTGGCCTCTTCCACAGGCCACCTCCCTTCCCCCATGGTCTCATTCCTGGAGGTACCTGCTGAGGTCTGGGCCGCTTGCCCGTCTGTATCTCCTTTGGGGGACTGGGCGGTATATCCAGGATCTCCTGTTCTCTGAGTGAGCAGGTGCTAGTCAGAGGGAAGAGCAATATCAGAGCTCCAGGCCCAGCTGCTCCCTCAGCCCAGGCAGCCAGCAGAGCTCAATGAGGCCCACTACCAAAGGGTACACAGCCATGTGGATTCCAGACATAGGCTTCATACCACACGGGATTCCGTGACTGACTATGCCCTTACCTTAGCTGCTCCCCGGAATGCTTCTCTGGGTTAAGGGTAGTTATATGTCCCTGGGCTCCATCTTCCTTCTCTGTGCACTTCTCTGGGGCCATGAGAGGTCCCTGCACCCCCTCACAGGAAGGACTGGCACCTTCTGCTCTTGAGGCTGAACCAAGTAAAGGTGGATTTTCCACCCTTTGGCAGAAGAAGCGGGCAATACTCTGGGAATCGTTGTGAGCCACTGTGGCTAGGAGCTGCTTCTTCCTGTTGGCCCGGGCCTTGGCCGTGGACCTGTCCCCACAGGAGCCTTTTGTTTTCTTCTCAGGGGAGGGTCCCCCACAACATGCACCACCAGCAGAGGCCTCTCCACTTGGCCCAGGGAGGGGCTCACTTCTGTCCTCGTCCTGGAGAACACACAGCTGGCTGGGGGGCTCCTGCTCACCTTCTCGTATGGGCTGGGAGGCTTGCTCCTGTGTCTGAGACTTCCCCATCAGCTCAGTGGCTGTCTGGAATGGAGAGGAGCCTTTGAGGAAGCCAGCTCCCATCCTCTTGGCTTTGAGCTGTGAGGAGGAAGAGGGAAGGTTCAGACCCTCAGGTCCCCTGGAAGGTACCAGCTGGCTGCTCCAGCTGGGTTGGGGCTCTCAGGAGTGAGGGAGGAGTTGGACAGGACACTCTTTGAGGGTCAGGCTCAGAAAGAGACCAGAGCTGGAAAAGGCATAGCTGGCAGAGCAGAGAAGCCCCATGGCCTTGTCTGGCACCCTAGGGCCAGGGCTAGGGTGCCAGGAGAGGTCGAGAGACTGTGTCCTACCTGGGAGCAAAGGAGAAGCTGAGCCTTTCCTAGACCCAGGTTTGAGGAAGACACCAGAACGCTGCTCACCGAGTACACGTGGGAGGCTGGTGGGATGTCATACTCATTGGGCTCTGGGGGCTCCACCCGGGCACTGCAGCTCTTGGTGCTACCTCCCATGTCATACAGCTGCCCATCCTTGGAGGCTTTGTGGATCTCAGCCACCTGGGCAGGGACAGGGAGGGAGACCATGGCACCCATGAGTTCCTCCTGATAGTCCCAATCTAAGTCCTCCTTTTCCTCGAGGCACAAGAAGGAACTGCACACTGAACAAGTGCCAGTCTCGCTGAGGGTGACTAGAAATGTCAACTAGCCAAGAAGCTGGCTCCACAGTCATAAAAGGGTCCTGGAGCCAGAGGACTGGCAGACAGTCTTGGAGTATGGAGGGGCTACCCTTTCCTGTTCTGAGCCTGGAGTATGCTGCCCCGCCCAGGCCCACCTTCTTCAGCACGCTGGCCTTGTACAGGTTGGCCATCTTGGCATTTCGAAACGTCTCGTGTTCCAGCTCCACAGCCCTGGTGCGAAGGTCCACTCTGTGGGTAGAGATGAGCACAGGTAACAGGACCCCAGCCCCCTCCCCATAGACCTCAGCTGGATTTTCTCCAGGACTCTGAGCACAAGGATTCTGACTAGGTCACTTTGGGCACCCTATGGCTCTCTGGCCTTCAGCAGCCACTGGTAGCCCTTAAGTGTGGCCATGCCAGTCTCTGATGGGACTGAGGGACTGGTACCCCTGGAGTAGGAATGGTCACAGTCTGAGGAGGAGAGGCCCAAACAAGACAGAGGGATGTGGGCTCTAGCTGTCTCCTCAGGAACAAAGGCTTGGAGAGGCCCCCACTCTAGGTGGCTGGACCTTGATCCCCAGTCCCAGAGATCTTGGGACACTCACCCATCAGTGTGACCTGCAGCCTGATAGTTACTGTTCAGAGCCTCCTCCAGAAGCCCCAGACAGTGCTCTCGGGCCTACAGGGAAAGAGAAGTCAGTCACCCAACTCAGGTTGGGGAGAATATCCTGGTTCCAGGTGAGGAGCTGCTCTTTTCTTACCTTCACAGTGAGCCGGGGGATCTTCCTGCTAGAAGCTTCTTTCAGGGGACAGTCCTCATCTGGGGAGAGGAAGGATGGACCCTTCCACTTGACTTCCAGCTCTCTGGAGTCTCCCAAGTCCCCAATGAGGCATCTACCATCCACACCCCAGGCATGGCCCACAAGTCCCTGGGAACATTTCTGTACCAACCTGGGGGTATGAATTCTTCTATCTTGGGATCTTTGCCCTGAAAGATGGCATGAAGGGCCCATGAGGCATCCTGCCCTGCTGCAGGACAGCTTCAACCCAGCACCAGGGAAGGAGCTGAGGTGTGAGCAGGGGGACCACCTGAACCCTGCATGGGTTGCTGAACCCTCTGCCCCCTTCACCTTGCGCAGGCTCATCTGCTTCTGATAGAAGAGACTCCATTCTCGCTTGTGGGCCTCATCCCTGCCCTCATCACCACTGCCTCCAGAACCTTCATCATACCTGAGGGACAGGCTGGGTATGAGCAGCCCCAGGCCGAGGTTTTGCCCTCCCTACTCACACATTTAGGACAGTGATGTCCATGGCACCCTGACAGCTCTGGACAGGGTCCAGGCCCCATCACAGCCCATGGGACAGCAGGGGAACTGTACGCAGCACTGCGCCACCTCTGGTCTGGCCTTAGCGCCAGGAGACTGACAGACCTGGTCTCATGGCCCATCACCTGCTGAATCCTCCATAGCCTCTGCGGCCTCCCTCATACAGCTCAGGGTCGAAGCCATTTTCCTGGGAGGGCCTGATGCAGGTCTTGCTCCAGCTGCTGCTGCGCTCCAAAGCATCCAGCTGCCTCTGCACAGCCGCACGGTTCTGACAGTGGTCACAGCCTTTGGAGCAGGCAGGTGGCGCATCCCCAAAGTACTTGGCAATGGCAGCATGGCGGCACCTGAAGGAGGGAATGCAGTAAAGGTGAGGGGCGAGGAAGCATCAGGCCAGTGTTTCTTCACCTAATCCCCAAACGCTGGCTGAGTGTCAAAATCTGGCGCCACGCTCAGCCTCTCCATACTTCACCTCATGGGGCTTCACAAGGCATCATTTGATTCTGCCCACTGTACATCTGGGGACAGTTATGGTTATAGGATCCCCAAGGTCCTATGACACATGTGACCCAGCTCCTAAAGAAAGAGGATTGGATCTCCCTCTAGCCAAATGAAGAATATGGCTCTGCAGCGGGACAGGTGGTGGGAGCAGTTGATGTGGCCACAAGGAGGCGCTCTTCTTCCTGCTCCCGCTAGTGCTTAATAAAAATAACAAATCTTCCCTCCACTGGAGCCTGCTCATCCATACAGTGGCTGCCTGTCTGGCTTCTGGGAGGCTCTGGCATCCAAGCAGTGTGGCCACAGGGTTGGCCCAACCCCCAAACCCTGTCTCACTGAGGTTTTGTGCTCAGATTCAAAGAGTTCCATTGACCATAGGGCTGGGGTCAGTTTCTCTCCCTGCAGTCTGGTCTGCTGGGTGGCATGACCAGCCAAATGTCAAATGCCCTAGTCACTGGGCTCTAGAGCCCCTCCCTGACGACGGAGCCAGGAGACGAGACAGCTGAGCAGAGTGAGACCAGCCCTCACCAGGCAAGCAGACCACTCCCAGGACCTCCCAGGACACCTAGGATTCTCAGTTCCCCCCAAGAAATATCTGGATGTTGAATAGCAGAAGGGTCTCCCTGGGGGCTGCCTGCAAAGTCTGCCTGCTTGCTTCAGTAGTCTGGCAGCTCCCTCACTACTTTCTTTCCAGGGAGAGGTGAAAGGGAGGGACCAGCCAGGGAGTGGCCTGAAGGACAGGCTGGGGTGGTCAGAAATCCAACAGCCAGAAGAGCTGCTCCATCCACTTGTACCATAGGCTCAGGCCGAGCCCCCTGGGGTCATCTCCACAGGGAACCAGACCAGAAGAAGGCAGCAGCCCAGCCCCAGCCTGCAGCTCAGCCCCAGCCCACAGCCCAGCCCACAGGAGGGGAGGGCAGAGGAAGAGGAAGAATGAGAGAGGGAGCTCATCCTGAAGCTGACCTCCTAGGCGGGGAAAGGCTAGTGCAAAGTGTACGATGGGCTCCAACCAGGGCTCCCTCTAGCTCCCCCTCTGGATGGTAATTTGACACTTGCATCTCCAGGACGACCAAAAACAAAAAAGCTGGGGCTGGGACAGTAGCTGGCTGTCAGGAGCTGGTGCTGAGGAGAGGTGCCCAGGGGAGCAGCAGCAGGACTGGAAAGCAGCGTCCACGAAGGAAGTACAAGGTGGTGGCCAAGGGCCTGGGAAGGCAGAAGAGGCTCTGCAGTGGGACACCCCTTCTTGGCCCCCCAATACCTCTGTTTCCAGGTAAGTGGTGCAAGCCATGATAAAAAGGGTCAGGATGGGAAGCAAGTAGAGACTGTCTCTTGCCCAAAAGGTGAAGGCCCACAATATACCATGAACATGGAGAGGTCTTGAGGGATGTGCTTGGCCACTTCCCTTGTAGGAAAATTACCCTCCTGTGCACACCTGAGCTCTCCCTCCCTCCCCTTGGATCCTCCACTAGAGAATCAGGGACTCTGTCCAGAGCACTGCCCTCCTGCTTGCTGTGCGGCAGAGGGGCCAAGGGCCTGCTTACTCTGCAGGTCAGTTTGAGCTTTTCCTATTCAATGGGCTTAAAAGAGGGATTTGGCTGTCCCGCCGCTGCATGCCTGCTGAGCCTCCCTGTTTCCCAGGATTAGGGCTAACCCTGTCTCTCCATTCTCCCCACTTGCAAAGGCTCAGGTCAGGGTACGCCCAGCTGGCTCACAGCTGCCCAGGATAGAGAAAGACCTGCAGCATCCCTATATACCTTGTCTTGGCAAGAGCACCAGCTGACATTTCTTTCAGAAGTTCAGACTACTTGTTGCTAGGTGTTCTCAGCTCAGGCACAGGGAGGAGCCCTGGACCCATTTGGATCCCCAGGAGCCTTCAGACCTCCCTCTCGCAATGAGCTTTGCACACTGAACCAGGGGAAGGGGTGGGGAGACAGTGATAACAGGAAAGCTAGGAGGAAGGCCCCCTATCTGCCTGCAATTCAGTTTTCTGCTGCAACACTGTGATGCCAGTGCTGAGTCAGTGCTTTGGTTCTTCAAGGAGCATGGAGCCCACTCCTCCTGGGCCGGCCTCATAAGCAGAGGCTACCTATTCCTTCTGTCTCCCTGTTCTCGCACCAGGGCTCAGTCCCCCATTCCCTCATCTCAGATCAAGCAAACAAGTCATATCTAGCAAGACAGGGAGAAGCAGAAACTGAGGATCACGCCAAGTGTCCCAGGCTCAGCTAAAGCCATGGGCGTTGGCCTGGGTTGGTAGCTGGGAGATTAACTTCTGTGACAGAGGTACAAGATTCAACTGCAACTGGGGTATGCCGAGCACAGCAGGTAAGACCAAGTAAAGGAAGAGCACAGTAGTACCCCAGAAAGGCAGCTGCCCTGCACCCACTGGACACAGGTGGACAGCATCCCTCCAGTAGTCCCCGAACTAGGACAGACGGGGAATGGCCAGCTTCTATGTCTACAGGCAAGGAGCTAGTCCAGTGTCTGTCACCAGGGAAGAAGGTCTTTCCTGTCCTGGAAAGCTGCAAGGCTGGGGCAGCAGAACCAAGAATTTGAGCTACTTTCTATGTTAAAGCCAAAGAGGGAGTTGTTCAGCCAGGTATGGTGGGTGGCGAACACCAGCGCTCGGGAGGCTGAGGCAGCAAATTTGATCCCAGACTGTGCTACGAAGTGAGTTCAAGGCCAGCCTGAACTACATAGCAAGACCCTGTCTCAAAAACAAAAGAAAATGCTCAGTACATGCACCGTGGGCATCTTTGCCCTACTAGTCAGGCCTCCGAGCCCCACTGTTGGTTATGCTCATTTGATGTTTTTTGGTTTTTTTGGTTTTTTTTTTTGGTTTTTTTCCGGTACCGGGAACTGAACTCACGACCTTGCGCTTGCCAGGCAGGCGCTTTGCCGCTGAGCTAAATCCCCAGCCCCCAGTTATGCTCATTTGAGCTGCTTTTCAAACAAGAAAATGTCCAGCAGGGACAGCGTGGCTGAGACCCACCATGACAAAACAATAGGGGCCCAGCAAGAAGCCCTTCAGGGTCATGAGCCATCAAGCATACTGTGTTTATCAGGCACAAACATACTGCCTACCCTCTTTCATAGGGGGAGCCTAGAGTCAGACTATCAGTTTTTCAAGAAGGAAATGGAAGCTCCGGTACTGAGTGGTAGCTGTCTGGCTTCAGGATGCCTGCTGCTCTATGGCAAGGCTCACTGTGCTAAGAGATGCCACACAAAGGAACACTTCCCAGTCCCTCTAGCTCTGCCAGCCTCCCTCTGCCCTATTGGCTCTCCCCTTCTACTGGCTGCACCCCAGCCAGGAAGCACCCCTCAGAAGGCTCCGACAAGGGCTGCACAGGCAGCCTGGGCAACAGGACGGCCCAGTGGCTGTGCAGGCTGCTCTCTCTGCCTGGGGCCACAGGGAGCCACCACTTGCCTCACCCACCCCTCAGGAACATCTGAGAACCTGAGAAGGCTCTAGTGGAGGCACTACTAAACATGAGGTAGGGAGGGACTCTGAATCCCCTGCTTCTCAGGCAGGAAGTATGGTTTTAAAAGGACTTTGATGAACCTGAGATGGAAAGATGAGGAAAATACAGACTTACTGCTAGTGGCAGTTGGCTTCCCTCCCTTCCCCTCCCAAACCTGGGAGGGTAAAAGCACAAGAGAGACCATCTCAGAACTCCTGATCTCCCCTGGCCACAGCTGGGAACATGCCACTGGGTCACCTGACAGCTGCTGGTTATATCGGGTACCAGGCGTCAGGCACTGGCCTTGCTTTAAATAGCCCACTGGGAAGCCGCCTAGGGACCTGTTGGAATGTGCCTCCTTCCTTTTTGGAGAACAAGACTCTTCAGCCCCCCACCAATCCCATGGGCCTGTTCTGCTCTGTCACAAGTCTAAGGTTGAAATGATAAAACATCAACAGCCAGGCAAAGAGGGCTCCCCTTCAGCTCTTTGGGAGTAAAACAACCATGCCCAGCAGCCACATTTCTGTGCACAGTGCCCAGGGCAGCCCTGGGTCAGATCCCAGAGCTAGGTGAGGCTGGCCCAGACTAGCTGCCTAATTCAGCTCCCAGTCAACTGCCTACAGAAGCTCTAGGCTCAAAGCTACAACGCAGCTCACTGCTGTGGACAGACCTCTTCCCAGGATGGGGCCAGGCCCGGTGGGCATAAGTCTGCAGCTTTCCGACTTCGCAGCCCCTAGAGGATGTTCATTGCCTTTGTAGCTGAAGCTCTGATGAATAAAACCCAGCTTCGCCAAACAGCAGGCTTAGCTTCAGCCTTAGACTCAGCCTCCTGTACGCTGGAAACCCCAACTCAGACAGGCTCAGGGTCCCCACACCACTGCTCACTCACAGCAGGTATCCCCCCATCCCCTCACAATCTCTCCCTACATCTTTGGGTGTGGCACACAAGTAACAAAGTGCTCCCTGTCCACCCCCCTCCTGCCCGCTTCCTCTTTTAAGGAGTGTCTTCTTCAGGCTACATTATGTAACTCGGGCACAGCTCCAACCAGGCTGAAAAAGCCAGATTAAATATATGGGAGGGAGTGGAGAAATGCAGCTCCATTTCTGAACCACATATAAAGTCATTCCTCTAAGGATGAGGCCCCTGGAAACTTGGGAGTGGGGATAACACAGAGGTCCCAGAACAGGAGAGGGACCACTGTCCTTGTGCAAGCCTGCTCCACCTGATCAGTGGGAAGGGTTCATTCAGTCTGACCAGAGGGGACTGTCCTCTGCTCAGGCCATCACGGGACACAACATCTGTCCCTTTGATGACAAGTACTATGTGTGGATCCTAGAAGGCCTGATGGTGATATGCTGGTAAAAGTGGGGCTTCAGTGGTGCCCTCAGTGGGACTGCTGCTGCTTTGAATTATCTTGCTGCTCAAAGCCCAAACTGGCCTCCACTGAGAGGGAGTGGGGCAGTAGGAGGTGCGCTGCCTGGGCCTTTGTCCTGCTGTGCGACCACAGAGAAATCATGTACTCTCAAGTCTCAGCAGCCCAGTTTGTAAAAGGAAGCGGATAGGAGTAGATGGCCAATAGCTACCCAGGATCCTCTTTATAGTGTGCAATATGGGGTCTAATCTTTAGAAAAGTGCACTAACTCTGGCGTGAAGTATGGGAAAAGCTGGGAGGATGTAATTCAGGAAACCTTTAGCTTCTGACAAGAAATCACCTACTTTTCCACGGATCCATTGCCTGCCTGCTACTCCCACTGTCACTAAAATTACAACTCCCCTTGTATAATTTGTTCACTTTCCTTCAAACACATACCCACCAGGCGTGGTGGCACACACCTGTAATCTCAGCACTCGGGAGGCTGAGGGAGGAGGATCATGTTGCGAGTTCGACACCAGCCTAGGCTACCAAGTGAGCTCAAGGTTAGCCTGAACTGCACAGCCAGACCTTGTCTCAAAAAGACAAAACACAAACACACACACACACACACACACACACACACACACACACACAAACACCCCAGAAACATCCCAGGAATGAAGGACATGACATTCCCAGATGTTTAGTTAGGGCCATCTGATAGTATATGAGGGCAGGGTGACAGCCCATAGCACCAAGAAGACCCAGGTGCCTGCCTCATCTCTCCTGGCCCTGGCCTGAGCTCACCCACAAGGTGTTCCAGGCCTCTCCCTGAGGCTATTTAGTGCTTCCCACATCTGCTAGATGATCAGTCCCCCAGCAGCTTGAAAGATAGGCATTTCATCTCTGGGGGAAGGATGATTAAAACAGTATTTTGTGAGGGACAGGTAGAACTCCTGAACCCACTGGGGCAGAGGATCCCATAGTAAAACCTCCATCAACACAATGCTGTCTCTTCCTCCTCACAGTAGAACAGTACTAAAGAAATTCAAAAGGCGCACACTGGCTGTCATGCAGGTCCTACCGCACAGTAACGGGGCAGAGGAACACCTGGGTCCTAAATGACCACAAGTAGGACTCATTGGAAATAGCCAGGGGTTAAAAAAAAAAAAAAAAAAAGGAAATAGCCAGGAGTTTATGATGGCGTCTGAAATAGGTTGGGTGGCCTTAGCAGGTAGCAACTCCTATCAAAAGTGCTCAGGCAGAGAAAGGCTTCAGGGCTACAACAGGGCAGGGAGTACGGGGTGGAGGGCTTGACTAGATGATCTATCCGCACGGCAATTCTAAACTTGCTATGTAGGAAGCAGCACCAGAACAGCCAGGCCTTGCAGACTCAGCCATCTCAGGGAAAGCCAAAGCAGAAGGTACTGCCCACCCAAGTGACATAAGGACAAGGCGGCTATCATTAAAGATAAAGGTCTGATCCAAACCGCCCCCCTCCCGGCCACCTATCTTCTACTCCTACCCCCAAGATTAAAGCAACTGTCTTGGTGAACCAGTTCAGGCTGGATTGTTATAAGGTTTCCCCTGGTCCTTCTCTGAAGAGGCCCTGGCTCCCTAGTGCTCACAGGAGAGATGGAAGGAGAAAGAAACCCTGATACACAATAGGCCCCAACTCATGCACTCAGCTTAGAGCTTGCCCTTAGGCCTCGTGAGCACCCCTGGACAGGAAGAGGCTCTCTGGGGTGAGGGTGAGGGTGAGAGAGGCCAATCCTGGTCAGGCCAGAGGAACAGGTCCAGGCCAACAAGGGAGGGCTGGCTGATCCAGCCCTGAAACTCCCCATCCCACTGTGACACAGGATCCTCTGGCAATAACTGGATCAACATGGTGCTGCCTCTTCCTCATGGTAGAACAATGTAGGAGTAAAGAAATGTGGGAGAAGGAGAGGCGGTGGCAGTGGATACCTGTAATCTCAGTTACAGAAGATAGCAAGTTTGAGATCAGCCTGGGCAATTTAGCAAGATCCTGTCTCAAAATAAAAGGCACCAGCTAGTGTGACTTTCTTCAAGGTAGCCCACTACTCCTTCTTCTTCCTTTTATTGCTTTTTCTCCTTTCCCCAGCCCAAGCTCCCTTTGTAGAGCCAGTTTCTCCCTCACTCTTCACTTTTACTTTGTCAAATAAACTTGGCCCACTGCTTTTTGAAAATAAAATAAAATAAAATGTGCTGGGGATGGAGCCCTGGGTTAGAGCACTCGTAGGTAGGGCTCTGGGTTTAATCCTTAATATAAAAAAAAAAAAAAAAGCCTGGTGGGAGTGGCTTGTCCCAGAAGATCCAACTTCATATCCCCAAAGCCAGGAGCACCTCTCTCCCATCACTTTTCACCTACTGCTGATCCCAATCAGAGCCCCCCCACAAAAAAAGCAACCTGATCCTCCTGCCCCTGCATTCATCAAAGGATCAAAGGAAGCACATCAGGCTGGAATCCTGGGGCCTGTCTTCATACCCTGAGGCCCTTCAAGGAGGCGCCCAGATGACCCAGGGCCCAGTAAGGGTGCTGTGTCAGCTGAGGAACCCTGCCCAAACCTGGCCATGTGTCTCAAGACAAAAGAATGTAACAGCAAAGTTGTTCTACCTTGCAGTCAGAAACCTTCACCAAGCTTAGCCTTGGCTAGCAGCCCCTCCAAGCAGCCTCCCAATGTCACTCTCACCCTCCACTTCCCTCATCCTGGGCAGAGCTGGCTAGGTGAAGGCTGAGAGCTGCTACTGAGCACATAAGCCCTAAGACTTCCTGCCTCCTCAGAACCACCAGGGGCACTAGGGGTGAACCGGATAAACCCGTTCTGCGGGCTACGGTGGGAGAGAGGGTGGCTCGCTGGTGCTGCCACTCACTCTAGATGCTCTTTCTGCCTCGGAACAGCGCTGGAGCTCTGGCAGAAACGCACAGCATGGTGACCGAAGACTTTGTTCGGGAGATGCACTCTGTGGGTGAGAGGCTGCTGATGAAGCTTCGAGGGCTGTCTCAGGCTGAGCCTGTGGAGCTTGTGGCCTTCTCCATCATCATCCTTTTCGCAGGCAAGTAGGGGGCACTCAGATTCTCCTCAGCACCCACCCCATGGCTCTCTGGCACTGGGAGAGACTAGACCAGTGATGGTGAACCTTTTAGAGCTTTCAGTGATACAAACATCCCGCTGCAGCACGCATGCCATAGGTTCACCACCACTGGGTTAGACCATGGTACTGGCTACAAACTCACGGGGTTGGCAGGTGGGCCCCAGATAAGGAGGAAAAGCAGGGATCCCTCAAGGGATTTTTCCATATCCTCTGACATTGCCCACATGATGGGCAATGCTGAGAACTGGACCCCGCAGCACTATCAGATGTCAACCCAGGGATGAAGGGAGCCAAGCTTGGGCAGTAAGACAACAGGGAGGTCAGCACCTGGGGCTGGCATGGAAATGGTCAAAGTTCCCATCAGACTCTCTGGTCCTTCTGACCACTAAACCAGACTTGGGGAGAAGGCCCTAGCATACCTCCAAGGGGGGTTTCTTTGGGAGGAGGATATCCTTTCCCTTCCAGGGTCTGAGGTGTCCACACTCTCCCATCCTACAGCCACTGTTCTGTTGCTGTTGCTGATAGCCTGCAGCTGCTGCTGCGTGCACTGCTGCTGCCCTGAACAGAGAGGCAGGAAGGTCCAGGTGCGGCCCATGACCTCGCCATGAGGGACAGTGGAGAAACCAGAAGAGAAGCTGGAGAGGTGACTGCCAGAGCCATAACATAGGCTGTCAGCCTGAGCCTGCGGTTCTTACCTCTGCGGACAAGGACACCCTGGCTTCAGCTCTGGTCCTGTCCAGGTGCCAGGACACTGATGCATGAAGCTTATCAAGAAAACAAGGGCTGGCACAGGCACAAAACCTTATCTGCCAGTGGACACTGGATGCTGAGGACAAGCCGACTGTTTCAGAATCAGTAAGCCTCCTGAACTTTTTATAAAACAAGGACACATGGGTCTTCATTCTTTGATGGGGAACGGCCCACATGTGTGGGCAGCTAGTCCTGCTGATCCATGCCAGAGAGGAGTGAGGCAATCAGAGGGATTTTGTACAACGGCTACAGGATCCCAGGCTCCCAACCGGGGGAACATGTCAGCATTCTAGCCCAGTACTTGCCTGTTTATTCTAGCCCAGTACTTGCTCCCCGACCGGGGGAACATGTCAGCATTCTAGCCCAGTACTTGCTTTTATTAACTGAAAGCTTTTTTTAGTTATGTGTTTCTCAGGTTGGGCTGGGCTCTATGCAACAGGAAGGCAGTGCCAGAATTTTAGGGGTGTGACCCGTGACTGTTCTTTATAGGTCACAGCTCTCCCTGTGGCCATGAAGGCTGGAAAATCACAGAGAGGAATGCCATGCAGGTGGCGATGCTATGAAACCAATGGAGGAACATGGAAACATTCCTGTCATGCATAGTTATTAACAAGCACTGGCTGCTGGATCCCCACTCTGCTGAGTGAGGGAAGCTGTTTGCCCCAGGGCAGGCACTAGGCCAAGGAACACCACAGCCCGTAACTTCTACCTGCATACCCCATATGAGCAGGCTCAGGCCACTGGATCTTCCCAAACTTCTGGAGCCAGAGAAGAAAAGTTAGCTCCTAGTATGATCTAAAACTTGCATCCTACACCTTTGGTCCTGTCCCCATTTGTATGATGATGGGGCTCATTCATACCTACTTCTGTCACTTACCAGCTACATGCACTCAACCTCCCTGAGTCAGGTCTCTTCCCTAGTGAAATGGGCTAATCCTGGTACTTGCTTCCTGGGGTATCTTGTGAGGATACACTAAGATGACCTACGTCTAGCAGTTAGCACAGTGCCGGACATGTCCTAAGAGGTCCATAAACATGAACTGTCATTATTTGCCCCTTTAACAATGGATCAAGCTGGGGAGATAGCTCAGTGACAGAAGCGCCTGCCTGGCAAGCACAAGGTCCTGAGTTCGTTCCCAGTACAAAAAAAAACAAAAAAGAATGGATCAACCCAGAGCATGATGGACCCATTTTAAAGAATGTTACTACTAAAATGAAACCTCCTTCTGGCCTCCCACCCTTCAGTTTTCTTCCCTAGAGGCAGAGCTACAAGCTCAGAAATGGGGGGAGGGAGTGGAGGCACACATATGTGAGGCTCTATACATGCCACTGGGGCTGGGACACAGCATTCTATTACGCCTCCTTTCTAACTGTCCAGAGCCATCATACCAGGATCTATAACTTTTCACATGCTTCTGCCATCTGAGTCTGAGCAGCACACATTCTAGTTTTCTGAGAGCACAACCACGTCTGCCCAGAAAACAGGATATGGAGAGAGGATGACAGGCCCTGCCATCTTCAGTTGGCAATCTAGGCCATGCAGGCAGGGACAAGCAGGCAAGAGTTCTACTTCCTGGTGTTCATAGACTTACTCTCCTGACAGGTTTGGACAGAAGACTCAGAAAGGAAGTGTTCCCATACAAAAAAAAAGAAGCCGAAGAACTACCTGTCCTCAGCCCCACCCAAAGAATGGGCTCTAGAATAATAAAAACAACAACAATGACAATGATGATAAAGACAGCTAAAATTCACTGAGGGCCTGCACATGCCTAGGCATTATCTTAAGCATTTTCATGCAGACAAATTCATTTAATCATCACAATACCTCCCTGCTGTAGGGAGGTATTATCCTCACTTAGACAAGAGGATATTAAATCTTAGTGACACTAGGTGATTTGTCCAAGTTTGGCCAGCTTAAAAGTGGCACAGCCAGTCTCTGGGTCCAGTCTTTCTGGCTCCAGAGCCCTTGTTCACCACACCCACTGCCCTGCTGCTTCCCAGGTGCACGACAGATAAGGCTCTGATTCCATTATCCTCCATCAACAAACCCTACATCCAAACACACACACCAAAACTCTGTCCCAAACTGCCTCCAACAGGTAGGAGCTGGAGTGGCGCCCAACTAGGTGTCAGAAGAAAAGGCCAGGCATAGTGGGAGGGACAGGAAGACCTGCATTTTCACACCCGGCACCACTGGCTAGAGGTAGAAGCCCTTAGCTCAGGTGCTGCTCTAACAGGGATCCAGCCCAGTTCCCTCCTGGCTCTTCCTCAAGCAAGGCTTCATCAGCATCAAGACTGGCCCTCCACGGAAGGCCTGGTAGGCACACCTGTGATCACAGCACTTGGGAGGCTAAGGCAGGGAAATAAGGCCAGCTTGGGCTACATATATAGCAAGACCCTCTCTCAAAAACTGCCATCTGAGTCCTCACAGCACACATTCTAGTTTTCTGAGAGCACAACCATGTTTGCCCAGAAAACAGGACACGGAGAGAGGATACCAGGCCCTGCCATCTTCAGTTGGCAATCTAGGCCATGCAGGCAGGGACAAGCAGGCAAGAGAAGCTCTCACTGGTTGTTTCTACTTCCTGATGTTCATAGACTCTCCTGACGGGTTTGGATGGAAGACTCAGAAAAGAAGTGTTCCCATACAAAAAAAAGAAGCCCAAGAACTACCTGTCCTCAGCCGCACCCAAAGTCCAGCTGCTGAGAGGTGGGCACTATGGACAGCCCTGGGCACACATAGGCTAACTAACTAACCATTTGCACCTTTCTGTTGCATGGCAGGGAGTACATAACTGCCAGGCCCAAATAAGCTGTCCCTGCCCACAGCACACTTGCTCCTCCCTGCTCTACAGCCTCACCACCACTGTCGGGCCAAGTCCCACACAGACATCCAGCCTGCTCAGATGAACAGATACTCTGGCCCGACAGCAGCCAGGCACATTCTCTGGATGTACAGCCTCTAGGGTGGGTCTTCCCTGAGGAAGATGGACTAGAAAAGGAGGCAGCTATCACCTACTGTGGTAAAAATAAACAGAAGGGTACTGTGGGCCTCGGATACTTGAAGATTGCTAATGGCCAAAGAATGGGCAGCCATTAGGCTGCATCAGGCCTGGAAAACATCCAACTGACTCTGGACACCATTTCTGGAACTACCCCACACCATCCTAGACCAAGCTGCCAGCAGTGTTTGCAGGACACACGGCATGCAGCCTAAGCGCTCTCCACAGTGGTCTTGCCAGCCTTCTCACACCACCTCCCCTGTGGCCTCTGCTGCACCAGTGTCTGCTCTCAGTTCTGCAAAAGGGCTGCCCTCTACACTGAAGATCTATGTGTTTTAATGTCTGCACATTATACCTACAATAAAGCCACTGAGACAAGAATCTCATTAGGAAAATCTGACAGCACAGAAAAAGTTTCCTCCTATGTCTGTTTGCTCAAACGTTCATATTTTGAAGCAATCTACAATAAAACTCATAATGACACAAAGGGCACCACAAATAACAATGCAAATTTCAGATCATAAAACATGAGGCCAAATTAATTTTGTCCTTAAATTACTCTCTCCTTGGCCCTGTGCAGTGCTGTGGAACGCTTCCCCTAACTCTGTCAGGTAATGACTCCCACTCTTCACAGCTCTAGTGCCACATCACTTCCGGACAGAGGGACTGTCAGCACACAGACAGGTTCTACTACCTGTACCAACAGCAACTTCTGCCCTCCCCAGCATCTCATGCTCTTCACTGGGACCATGATAGCAGAATTACCCACTTAGGGGCACCAGCTCACTGAAAAAGCCAGTTAAAGTAACTTTCACATGTATGGCACACATTCGCTACACATCTCATTTTAAACTGAAACAGACTGCACATTCCCTGGCCAAGCTTTCCAGAGTAACGCCAAGGTCTTTTGTCTGAGTGTGGGCTTGCTGTAATGTTTATTTTGCACTTTTGCTTTCATTAGAGCGAAACAAAAACTTACAAGACATTTGCAAAAGAGCCTGAGTGTGCAGTGCCACTGGCGTTTTACAAAACATTTGCTTCTCTTTTGATAGAAATATTATTTGAGTGATTCCAAGTGGTCCCACAGTGTTTAAGGAACAACAATTTACTTTCTCCTCATTTATACCGCCTTTGTTTCTCATTTGTACCTCATTTGTTTCTCCGCCTTTGCACGTCATTCAGAGGTACAGCGAGAGCCTCAGAGCTCAGACTGTATACCTGGTTTCAAATCAATTCAGTTGCTTCTTAGCTGTATGATCTTGGTTAAGTTACTAAACCACTCTATGCCTCTTCTCCATCTGTAAAATTGAAGTTTCAGGTATCATTGCTTCATTTTTTAATGCCATGTTATAGCCAATTATAATAAGTACCCAGAAAAGTATATCAAAAGTTTGGGAACTGATTTTTGATAAGCCCCTGACTTAACTGATAGAGAAGCAGTACCAGGGCATGCCAGAAACCAGCTTGTTGGCTGTGTGCTTTTGGCATGCCAGAGATGTTAGTCAGCAAGTTTTACATGAGGAAATGGAAAGCATTAGGCAAGCCGGGGGTCAATTCAACCCACAACAGTTAAGAACACTCTACTAAGCCAGGTATGGTGGCACACACCCATAATCCTAGCACTCTGAGAGGCTGAGGCAGAAGGATTACAAATTCGAGGCCAGCCTGAGGGACATAGTGAGACCCTGTCTCAAAAAGTAAAAATGAAATTGGGCATAGTAGTGCACGCCTATAATCCCAGCACTCTGAAGGCTGAGGCAGGAGGCTAGCCTGGGCTACACAGTGATTTCAAGGCCAGCCTGGACTACCTAGGGAGACCCTATCTCAAAACAAAAAAGGAAGGAAGGGAGGGAGGAAAGGAGGCGGGCAGGAGGACAGGCAAACAGGTGGACAGGCAGGTGCACGTCATTGTGAAGACCCTGGATTTATCCCCAGCACTGGAAAAAATATAAAAATAAAAATAAAGCCCTTTACTGAGCTTCCTCATCATCCCTCAGCCTCCCCTGGCTATATCAGGAAAAGTTTAAAACAAGTATCTTGGCATCTTGGGAACTGATATAAGTGGTATGAGGTGGGACACAGACCTTTCTAAAAGCTCCTAGGTGACTGTAACAAGCAGGGCTGAGGGAAGGCAAGCTCTCAGAGGGCAAGCCCCACTTCTCTTGTCCCACAATTGGTCAAATGCCTATCATCCCTGGCCACAGCAGGACCACACATCCTAGCTTTTTTTTTTTTTTTTTACCAATTGAATAATCATTGACTATCTCAATGATTGTTGTAGGAAACACATAGTAATAAACATACATCCATTTATAGAATAGCATAGGAACAATATAAACATTAGAGAGTTATGGATAGATTAGTAGGAAAATATCAGTGGCTGCTGTAATTAATACATGGTGGTATCTTCAAAGTGGTTTCTCAGGAAGACAGAGATATGTAAGAAAGATCTAACAAGTAGTTATAGCCTAAGGGTTGTGAAAAATAGTGGATCACCTCCTCACCAGTGACTCCTTTCACTGAGGTGTGACGGCTGGATGGAAGGCCAGGATTGAAAAGGAGGATCAAGAGACTTGCACCTGTGTCTAGCAATAGGCTGTTTTCTTTTTCCTCTATAGTCGTGATTACCTGGGGCTCCTCCATGGAGATGACGGTCTGGCCAGAGGGAGAAGGCAGAGTATGCCCCGGGCCCCCTCATTCCTGTTGGACTAACTGGTAGGATGGGTCTGAGCTCTGGGACCTCCACTTCAGAAAGCAGACCGATCTCCAGTGGTCACCTTTGCATTCAGGGCATGGCCCAGGGGCCTTCTTAAGGCAGTTCCTCTTGAGGCGGCCTGGCTTTCAACAATGGTAGCAGATGAATGTAGTCGTCAAGTTCTTCTTGGGGCCCTGAGAATCAGACTTACGGTCTGTTTCTCTTAGTGCTGCAGCAAAAACAGCTGCTTTTTCTTAGTCTCTTTGTTTCCTCTCCTTGGCCTCTTCCTCATCACAGCTATAGAATACTGAGGAGGCAACTCTTACTAACATTTCATGTGAGCCATCTGGGGCAAAAACCATTTTTTGTAGTTTTTTCTCTCCAGCCTCCCAGCGCATTGGGACCCCACAACCACTTAGTGTCCTCTCCCCAACCGTCAGCACAGGCAGCAGGAATCTCGGTATAGACCTCTCCAGAGTTCCACGTGCTCCTCCACCGCAGCCTGTACTGTCAGGGGAAGGATGGCTTCCAGGGTGTCTCCCCAGGTATTGAGCAAGGTCTTCCTGGTTTCCAGCTTCCAAATGGCTCTCATGACCACAATCAACTAGACCTCTGAGTCTTCGTGCGTAGTCTGTATTCTCATGTTCTCCAAGTCCTTGCTCAGAAGCTGCTCCTCCGCTGACTCTGGACCTTTCTGGTTCTCAATGGCAGGGGCAAGAGTGACCCATTGTGTGGCATGTATTCCCAGGGGTTTCTTCATGTCAGGATGATTCACACACATCCCCAGGCAGGCCTCCTTGGCTGGCGCGTGGTGGGCCAATTGTGTCCTTGCTTCTCTGTGCCATGATAGTTCTCAACCACATGATGGTGGTTGGTTTAGGGGCTGGCGCGTGCCAGCGTGCACCGCCGTGCAACTTCCTGGGTGCTGGCTGCCAGCCTCCAGGGTGCCTGCACAGCTAGGGGAAAGCCCAAAGGCTGGCACTCTCCACTGCGTGGCTTCCTGGGCGCAGGTGGCCTGCTTCCTGGGTGCCTGCGCAGCTAGGGGCCGGCCCAAAGGCCAGCATTCCCCGCCACACAGCTTCCCAGGCGCAGGCGGCCTGCCTCCCAGGTGCCTGTGCAGCTAGGGGCTGGCCCAAAGGCCAGCACTCCCCGCACATCCTAGCTTTTAAAGGAATCAGCGGTGGCTACCATGTTTCAAGCACAGCATGCACGCTCCATTTCCCTTCCTAGCTTCCCCACAGCACCAGTGTGTAGGAATCAACCACACAGAAGCTGAGGCTGTGCCTCAGAGGCAGGAAGCACCAGCTTCAATAGTGATATACACTTCTACCCAGAAACTTGATCCAGGAGGCACCAGTCAGAGCTGCTGTTAATCATTCACCCACACCACAGGAAGTGATGTCTTTGTGGCAGTACCAGTCCTGAGGTTTCCCAAGTTCTGGACAGGTTCTCTCAGTGGATACATCATCTAGACTGAGAGCCCAAGCTCTAGCTGCACCTAGAGGTGAGGTAAATGGGTAGCCTGACACATAGCCCTTGGATGCAATCTTTCTCCATTCCACATCAAGTTTGATTTCTCTCAGGGAGTACTTAACATGCACCCCCAAGTGCCCCCATACTGACATCACAAAGGGGCAGAAGGAAGTTGAAGGGCGGTTACCAGGCACCTACCCTGCTCCACCTTTGTTTGCTCTGGGAACAGCAATGGTCAGGGCTACTTGGCAGTACCAACACACTTTCCTCCCAACAGCTGCTTCTTTGCGTCAGGGTGCACCCCTGATCACCTGGCAGCCCCTTCATCCTGGGACTTCCAAGCACAGGGCCTGAAGGACAACCCTGATTTGCCCTCACAGGACACAAGACTGCTAGCAGCAAAATCAGGTAATAACTCCTTCCTTCTTCCCTGTACTCCTGTGAAATGGCCCCAGCCCATGACCTGCATATGCCAGCTCCATGTCCACAACAGCGGGCCTTCTGTTTCCAGACACCTCCATGAATATCTACTGAAGCCTCAGCTACTCCTAAGCTCCCATCCTTTTTATTTACTTCTTTTTGGCTTTCTTCTCTCTCCCCCTTCCTCGCTCCACTTTATGGTAGTGAAGATTTTTAGTACCAGGAAGCATGGAACCATATCCCTAAACTACCACTCCCCCTTTTTAAATTTTTTTTTTTTGGTACCAGGAATCAAACTCAGGACCTTGCACCTGCCAGGCAGGCGCTTGTGCTACTGAGCTATATCCCCAGCACCCACCCCCCTTTAGTCAGGGTCTCACTGAGTTACCCAGGCTAGGCTCAGACTTTGGTCCTCCTGCCTCAGCCTCCCAAATAGCTGAGATGTACCACCAGGCTGGCTATTTATCTCGTTTTTGAAATGGAGGTCTCCCTGTCACCTCTGTTATGTTTTTTAAAAAGGGGTGTCTCCCTATTACCCAGGCTTGCCTTAAACTCCTGGGCTCAAATGATCCTCCTACCTCAACCTTCAGAGTAGCTGGGACTACAGGTGTGAGCCACCAGCATACCCACTAACTTCTCAAAATGCCTCCTATACAGTCAACAACTGGGACAGGAAAGGTAGGATCTACAGTAATGCTTTTTCAGCTTCTAGCTGAGGGGGGGGCAAGGGTAGGATCCCCGGCTCCATACCAGGGCTATTAAAGAACTAGAGACTCCAGAGGAATCTGGGATGGAGACAAGAGGCAGCCTCCAGGAAGAATGCAGGCCTATAACTTCAGCACTCAGGAGGCTGAGGCAGGAGAATCACCATGAGTTCAAGACCAGCCTAGGCTACATAATAAATTCAAGGCCTTCCTGAACTGCCTTGTGAGACCTTGTCTCAAAAAAACAAAAACAGAAACAAAAAAAGAAGAAGAAGAAGGAATGCCAGGCCCTCTCTAGAAAACTACGTATGTTGCCTTGAGACTTAGAAGCCAAAGACTCATCGCCCATTCAGTGTCTAGCCACAGAGATAGCAAAATATTCACTGAGATTGCCGCAAGCATCAAGGGGGAGTGGAAAGCAGCATCTAGGACCAGCTCTTGAAGGCCGCTTGCACTCAAGGCCTCTGTCCCATCTTTTCCAGGTTTACATGGACCGAACATTATTCCAGAAAGACATCTGGCGAGAAGAGTTCTGGGACAACCCCTGGGACGTGGCTGGCCTGATAGTGATTGGCTTATTCATCTTCACAGTCCTGTTTCTCATCTTGTTTGCTGTTACGTTTGGGTTGCTCTTTCCGAGGGATAGTACTGAGGGTGACCAGCAGTGACCTGATTTCCTGGGGTCTGAGAAGGCAGCAGGTGAGGGGGCTGACCAGCTCACCCTGTACTGGCAGTGGGCCCCATCACAGTCCCCTCTGGCTCAGAGGCCACGCCTTGGTATCTTTTTTTTTTCTCACCAGGAAACAGTCTGGTCTGATACTGGACCTGGCTTAGGGTTGGTCAGATAGCAAGATGGGGGAGGTGGGTCAGATACAGAGCCTGGGACCCCTACTGTATGCCATCCAAACCATGCCGACATGTGGGAGAGGGCCTTGCCTCTGCCTCAGACTAACAAGGTCCTCTCACAGGTTCCCAGCCCAGCCACCAACTTTGTAAGTCCTTGAGAGAGGAGGACACAAAATAATCAGATGAAGTAAAAATTCCTTTTCAAATCTGCTAACTTGTGAGAACTCATTTTCCATCTAGACATGACCACCAGAGCCAGTTTACCTAGTAAAGCTTCACTGGGGCCTGTAAGTCCCCTTGTGATCTGGCACTGCCTATCTCACCAGCTGTCTGCCATGTGTCCCCTGGTTCTCAGTATGACTTTCAGTTCCTAAATATGCCATGCTCTCTCCTGCCACAGGGCCTTTGCACATGATAGTCCCTGTGACCAGGATGTTCTCCCTCACACTACACCTCACTCCGTGGTCTAATTAATGCTTCCTCATCCTTCAGAACCCAGCTAAACCTGCCTTCCTCAGGTGAATCCTCCCTGACCCTCTAGATTGGGGTAGGACCACATGTTGTACAAGCTCAAAATATCACATACCTTTTCTTCAAAGCCCTCTCAAGAAGAATTGTATGTTTTTGTTTTTGTTTTTGTTTTTGTTTTTGGAGACAGGGTCTTGCTGTGTAGTTCAGGCTGGCCTTCAGTTTACTATACAGCCCAGGCTGGCCTCGAACTTGAAGTGATCCTCCTACCTCAAACTCCCAAGTGCTAGGATTACAGGCATGTACCACCACGCTTGGCTATATTTTTTTTTCATGATCACCCAACAAGCACCTGTTCACCACTGTATCCCCATGGCCAGTGTGCCTGGTACAGAGGGGACCTCAATCAGTATTTGTTGGCTGAATAAATGAACAAATGAGCACATGAACACACAAATGGGTAACAGGAGGATGCTGGAGCTGGTGGGCTCTTCTGTCCAGAGTTCCCAGGCGACAATTCAACCCAAGTCTAAACATAGAGCTGTTCATGCATCTCAAAGTAACCAGGCCACTTGGCCAGAGGTTGTATCAAGCCTAAAAACTATTCTCATAATACTTCAAGGCAAAAAAAGGCCCTGTTATGAAAATACATTTTCATGGCTACAGCCCAAAGACAGTAGCTACCTGCAGAGACAAGTGGAAAACCCCTGTGTCCTCATTCCTAACTGACCTAAGTACCTTTTCTGTTGGTCCCAGACCCTCTCCACATACTTCTCACAGGGTCCCACCTCCTCATGTCCCATCCCTTACAAGAGGTTCATTTTAGAAATGTACCCACCCCAGCCAAGCCCACCCCAGCCAAGCCCACCCCACTGGCCTCAATGCCAGGTGTCGGCTCAAAGGGACAGCTGGTAGGAACAGCTGTCTCAACCTCAAACTCAAACCAGTACTATTCTTAGAAAACGAGCAAATATCTGGTGGAGAGGGACTTTTTCCTCATACTATGTGCCATTTATACAATAATAAAACATCCCCTTTCAAGCCAGGCATGGTGGTGCATGCCTATAATCCAAGCATTCAGGAGACTAAGGCAGAAGGATAGCCACAAATTTAAGGCTAGCTTGGGCTACACAGTGAGTTCAAGACCAGCTTAAACTACACAGTGAGACCTGTCTCAAAAAACAAGACAAATGAACAAACAAGAATTCCCTGGGAGTCCTGGAATCCAGAACCTTCACACAGGACCACAAGACAGGAGGCGTGAGGCTGCACACACAGCTGGCCCACTGATGCAATAAGAAGTCCCAGTTCTTTGGAATGGAACAGAAGAAATAAAAAGCAAGAGGCCCCAGCCTGCCCTTACCTGGCAGGCTCTAATCCTCCAGAGTGTCAAATGCAGCCCCGACAAAAAACTCCAGGGTTTTTCCCAGGAGTGGGAACTCTGACAACTAGCAAGAACACTTGGTCCTTTCATTCCTCACCAGAAATGAAAGCTCTGCTCAAGTAGTCTGAGGTCAAATTTAGCAGCTCCCTGTACCAAGGCCTGCAAAGGGCTCTGGTGGCAATGGCCATAAGCAAGGAGGCCTGGCACTACAGCCCACCACTCTTTCCTGGGTGTGGTCCCACCACAGGGGCCAAATTAGAAATGGCTGATCTAAATTAGAAATAGCTCCGTCCAGGAGCCACCAACTCATCCATGAGTAGGAGGAAGATGGAAATCCAAACACAGGACCCACATAAGTGCCTCCCTGGTTTCCAAAGGACCCAAACCATCTGCTAGACATTGGTATTATGTACTTACTCAGGACCCTGCTTCAGGACTCTAGTCTTGGGGCTAGAGGCGTAGCTCAGTGGTAGAGCACTTGCCTAGCATGTGAAAGGCCTTGGGTTCCATCCACAGCACCACAAAAACAGAGCAGAAAAGAAATACTCTAGTCTTAAAAAAAAAACCAAGATGGTACAGGTATATGAAATTAACACTGCATATGCAAATCAGAAAGTCTGAGGTTAGTGGCTTTTGTCTACTGTGAGCTCTGTGAGTATCACCTGTCTGGAGTTGAGTTTATTCATCTCTAAGTCTACAGCAATCACTTATGCCCATTTCCTCCCAGGACTGTTACATGTGATCTAATGAATCTGAGAGCTATACAGACCAAAGTGTACAAAATCTTCCTGGGCATCCCTCACACTAAGTACCCATGATTCCCTATGCCCAGCCACAATCTGACTCTCTCTGAGCAGCCATCAGGCTCTTTTCATAACCCTTGTACCACTGCCACAGATGCAGACAAAAGAGATAAGTGGTTCTATGTGGGCAGGCTGAGATTCTGTTAAAAAGGCTGTTTTCCAAAGCACTTGGTGCCCCTGCCCAAGAGGTAAGTGCATCACACATTTCTGTTTGGGCCCTGAATAAGAATGAGAACCACGCATGTGAACCCAGCAGTCCTAGCTCAGTGGCACATGACGACCACAGAACCAATGGCTCAGAACTGGCCATATTACTTGGAAATGAGTTGCTCATGAGGCCAGCCATCACTGAAAAGGGTGGAGTGGGAGGATGGATGACCACCCAGAATGCTAAACAAATCCTCACACTGCCAGAATTTCAGGGGCCTAAAGAAGACAAACTGACTTCCAGGCTGCCCACACAATGACCGTTGCAGGCAGCGGTCCCTTGGTGGTCCAAGGGCTGTCTTACAGTAACAGTTTAAGTAATGGGTGCTGGATGGAGAAATTATCTCACTGACACTTTACTCCATATCCAAAATAAAACTTACCCCAGTTCTTCACAGAAGGTCACCAGGGCATCGAAGGCCAAGAGTGTGGCTTTATCAGATGATTTGTTTCCCCTCTTTTCCTGGAGACAGACAATGAATGATCACTTAGCCAGTCTTACAGAGTCGGACTAAACTTGTCCTCACAAAATATAGTGAGGTAGAAAAATGTTAAAGGACAGTAAAAAGCCATTTACTAAACAGTGCCCCCAAATCTAACTATACGTCAAAATCCTCCTCCTACTTTTGAAAGTTTGTATTTCCAAAAAGTCATTCTCCTTAAATCATTCTCATGCAAAGGGCCTTAGATAGTCATTTACAAAACACTATGATAGGACCTAATTTCCTAATAGTAAATATACAAGTGAGTATTGTGTCCTTACATCTGTATAAACATATATGCTGATGTATATATGGCAGGGTATATACTAAAATGTTAATAGTGCTTATCTCTGAGTTGTGGATATGCATCATTAGCTTTTATTTGCCAAAATTTCCTTTAAAAAAATGCAACAGGGCTGGGGATGTAGCTCAGTAGCATAAGCGCTTGCCTGGCAAATACAAGGTCCTGAGTTCGATTCCCAGTACAAAAAAAAAAAAAATGCAACAAACACTGCTGAGGGAAAAAAAAAACACTCCTGAGACATTATTTACTGACTTCTGCATTTAGGAAGTGACTCAAGCCAGGCATGGTGGTACATGCCTATAATCCCAGCAACTCAGGAGGCTGAGGTAGGAGGATTATAAATTCTGGGCCAGCCCAGGCAATTTAACAAGACCCTGTCACAAAATAAAATAAAAAGGGTTGGGGATATAGCTCAGCACTTCCTGGATTCAATCCCCAATACAATAATACACATGCACACACACACACACACACACACACACACACATTCCCCCTCTAACACTCACAAATATTCATAGGTACTCTACGTCCATCTCCCAACATGTTTAAGTTGCAATTTCATGTTAAAACAATATTTTCCTCCTTATGATTACATCAACATTGCTTCAAGCTATACCACAATTACATTTCCCATGACCACGTCCTCTCTTGTACAACTTTGTTTCCTCTAAACGTAATAGCTGCTTTGTTTCTTCCATTTGCTTAAGATTTTCAGGGTGTCAGTAATTCACCCTCAAATGTTCTGACATAGTAAAGAATTTTTTTTTTTTTTTGTAGCATGAGGGATTGAAGCCAGTGCCTCTACACTAAGCCCTATCTCTAGCCCTTTTTTAATTTTTATTTTGAGACAAGGTCTTGCTAAGTCACTAAGTTGCCCGGCTGGGCTCCAACTTGTTTTTCTCCTGACTCAGCCTCCCAAGTAGCTGGGATTAGAAGCACGCACCACCGTGCCCAGCAAGAATTCATTTCAGTAAAAGCCAAAGATATCAGGTTCCACTCTGACTTTTGGAAACTTCCTTCTGACAGCCTCTGTCCCCCAGTTCAATCTGGACCACTTTTTTTCCAGGCCTGTGCCCAACTATCTTTCTGACTACTGCTGGACATCATCCTGGGCCTTTCCCTTTGTCTTGCTCCTGAGTTTCATCTCCACCTCTTTCTCTAGGTCTGCTGTCTCTTTATGGAGGACAGCATCTTTTCATAGCCTCCAAGACATGATGCACCAGAGGATTTTTGGGGGGTAGGGAAACCCTGTATCTAAAAATGTATTTATTCTACCTTTATAGCTAACTGGTGGACAATGGAAAACTGTATGCTGGAAATCACTTGGAAACTGAAAGTTCTGTTTCATTGTTGCCTTTTTCCCAGTATTACAATGTGGAAAACAGTTGTTCTCTTGATTCTCAATCCTTCCTAGATCACAAGCATTCTCTCTACAGACACTTACTGTGTCTTCATCTCAAGTGATCTGAAATTGTCTCAATGATCAATCCAGTGTCCACTCTTGTAATTCACTGTTAGGAAGTCCCAAATAAATACCTTTCACTCAATCACCCTACGAAAATCTTCTTGTCTATCTTAAAACTGAGATCAAAGAGATGAGTTAATCATACTCCTTTAAGTCAAGGCAAATTATCATTCTTGGTCCATGAAACCCTCCTTCATTTCCAATCCTTTATTTCAATTTCTCTCCCGAGTCATCCTTCTCTCATTCACTCAACAACAGTTTATTAAGCACTAGTTATGTCCCTAGCACTGATCTAGACATTACAGACACAGATAACAAAAGGTCTCTGCTCATGGAGCTTGCATTTCAATGAAAGAGACAAAGAATAAGCAAATCTACAATGTCAAATAGTAATAAACATAAATTTTTTAAAAACGACATAGGATCCTTCCTTAGCCCTGGGTTATGCCTCTCACCCCATGGTGAGCAATGCACCGTGATTTCTTCACTCACTCCTCATGGATAGACATCCAGCTTATTTCTTATTTCCTATCACTATGAACAATTCTCCCAAACAATTCCTCAACATAAACTTATGCATTGGGACTTTTATTTCATGGAATTTGGTCTCAGAAATAGGATATCTGGACCAAAGTGCACCTGTATTTTAAAATGCAGTAAAGGGTAGGGGACATAGTACAATGGTAGAACATTTGCCTAGCATGCATGAGACCTTGAGTTCTACACCCACTACTACAAAAAAATAATAATAATAAAATGTGACAGTCGTTAGCTAGGCATGGTGGGGCATGCTCATAATTCCAGCACTCAGGAGGCTGAGGCAGGAGGATCACTGTGAGTTCAAGGCCAGGCTGGGCTACAAAAGCGAGTTCAAGGCCAGCCTGCACTACATAGTGAGACCATGTCTCAAAAAAAAACGAAGTTGTTAAATTGCTTCCCCTAAAATGATAGTTAACATTTCATTTTCCTCCTGACAAAATGCTAGAGGTTGTTTACATGCACATCATCGTACCTTAATTTGCATTTATCTGATTACTATTAATTACAGCATCTTTCAACATGCATTTGGATGAGGGTTTTTTGCTGTTGTTGTTCTTGTTTTCTTGCAGTACTGGAGAGTGACCCCTGGGAACACTGAGCTACACCCCTATCTCTTTAAAAATATTTTATTTTTGAGGCAAGGCCTCACTTAAGTTACCCAAGATGGCCTAGGTAACTAATGATCCTCCTGTCTCTGAAGTAGCTGGGATTCCAGACATACATCTCTGCACCTGCCATGGGAGCTTTTTCTTGTATCCTCTGCCTTTCACAGCCTTTGGGCTTTTTTGTCAATTGGTAAAACTTCTCTGTTTGTTCTCACGTATAGCCATCTGCTTGACCTCTACATTAAAATATTTTCCTAAAACTGTGTTTACCTTTACCTATTGGTTTTATGATTTTTATCATACAATTTGTCAATTTTATCATACAATTTGTTTATCATACAATTTATCATACAATTTGTCAATTTGTCATGTGTAATATATTAAAACCTTTTAATATAGTAAAAGATTTCTAGCTGAGTGTGATCACCCAGAACTCAGGAGACTGAGGCAGGAGGATCACCATGAGTTGGAGACCAGCTTGGGCTATATAGTGAGTTCAAAACCAGTGTGAACTATGTAGCAAGACTCTGTCTCAAAACAACAAAATATTTCTTTTTTTAAAGAGAGCTTTGGGGGCTTTAAATTTTTTACTATAAAAGTAACTTGTCCTTGATTATACAATAGACTAAATTTTCTTATTAAAAAAACTTTTTTGAGACATTGTCTCCGTCTGCTGCCCATGCTGGCCTCAGATGATACTGTCATGACCTCCCACATAGCTGGGATTATAGGTGCATACCACTGTGCCTGGTCCCCAGTTCTTAACACAATGATTATAAATATGTTGAACAATTTTGCCAATTTTGTAGGTATGAAAGGATTTCTCATTATCTAATTTGCATGTCTCTGATATCTACGTGACGGTGAGCACCTGTTGATATAATGATTAAATATCCTAGCTTCCTCTTCTGTGAAAATGCCTATTCCTACTTTGTATGATGTGGTTGTTTGCCTTTTTATCTTCTCCTTTCTTCAGTGCTGAGAATGGAACACATGCTAGACACTAGCTATACTACACTATACTACACTACACTACACTACAGTCTTTTCTCTTTTTATTTTGAGACAGACTCTCACAAATTGCTCAGGCTAACCTCAAACTTACACTCCTCCTCCCTTAACCTCTTAAGTAGCTGGAATTACAAACATGTGCCACCATGCTGTTCTTTGGCTTTTCTTATTTACCCATAGGAGTCTCTAAATAGCCAATAAATTTATATAATGCAAATATCTTCCCTAATATGGACTCAGTTTTTCATTTTGTTGAGGGTTTTTTTTGTTTTTCTTTTTTTTGTCTTTTTTTTTTTTTTTTAGACAGGGTCTTGCTATGCAGCTCAGGCTGGCCTTGAGCTCACTCTGTAGCCCAGGCTGGTCTCGAACTTACAACAATCCTCCTCCCTCTGCCTCTCGAGTGCTGGGATTACAGGCATGTGCCACCACGCCTGGCTTTCATTTTGTTTATATTTCCTTATACACAACACTATTTATATTTCCTTTACGTTCCCTTTTTAAGGGAAAGGAAAGTTAAAAAATAAATAAGCTGCGTTTCGTACATGTACCAAGTTCTCATGATGAATGTAATCATTATGTACTGCAAACATGTACTAATAAATTTTTTTTAATTGTTTTAAAGATTAAAACAGAAATAAGGTCCAGGGCTATAGCGGAGCAGTGGAGCACTTGCCAAGCACAGGTGAGGTTCTGGGTTCAATCCCCAGTACTTCACAATGTACAACAATGGGAAAATACACAATAATGCTCACTAAAACAAGGCAGGATTGATCTTAACTATGTAAGTTAGTGATACATAAATGATATTCAGGTAATTTAATGTTTACAAAGAAAATAAATCAGCCAAAAGTGGTAGCATATGCCTATAATTCCAGTACTCTGGGAGGCTGAGGCAGGAAGATCAGTTCAAGCGGGTCATGATAGCATATTTGCAATCCCAGCACTCAGAAGCCTGAGGTAAGAGTTGCACCATGAGTTTAAGACCAGCCTGAGCTACATAGTGAACTCAAAGCCAACCTGAGCTACACAGGAGTTCAAGACCAGCATGGGCAACTTACCCTGTCTCAAAAAAAGGGGTTAAGGAACTGGGGAAGCAGCTCAGTAAAAAAGCCCTGAGTTTAATCTCCAGTGCTGAAAAAAGAAAAAAGTCTAGCCTAATTCATTCCAGCTGCCTATGCACCCTGCACACTACTTCCTACCTTGCAGGCCAGGGCTACCCTCTCTAAACTTACAGACGCTCCATCTACACTTGAAAATAGCCACATGAAACTGGAGAGTCAGAGGGTCAGACAGACAGGGTTTCTACTGCCCAGGACTTACCTGGAGTTTTGCTATTTCCTTCCTGATTAGGTAGCTGACCTGGTCCCGGTCATTCCGAGAGTAATAGAGACGACACCAAGAAGGCTTCCCATCCCTGCCGGCCCGGCCAGACTCCTGGTAGTACCCAGCCATCGACTTGGCAATATTCCAGTGGGCAACAAATCTGTAGGAGCCGAAAGGACAAGCAGTGTGAGATATAGAAGAAGAGCTGAGTATGCTGTGGAGGAGTACTTCTATGTCAGTAAAGCAGGGCTTTCTTCACAGTGGCCAGGCACAGGGAGGCTAACACTCAGGGAGAAAGAGAAAAGATGCTGGAGTAAGCTGGCTCATATTCTTGTGGCCCACTGGCAAGCCTGCCTGCCATGAAGCTGCCCAGCCTAGAGGCCGCTGCAGGAGTTCAGAGGACAACTCCAGGGCCTGGGGATTTAACTCAGCGGCACAGCACCTGCCTGGCAAGCGCAAGGTTGTGAGTTCAATTCCCGGTACCAGAAAAAAAAAAAGAAAAAACAGAGGGCAACTCCAGCATATATGGGGAACCCATAAAACTTATAGCAGTGGAATAACTGGACTTTAGTGTTAATTCCAATGGAATAAACACTAGACTTTAAAAAAGCCCGCTCTATGGATGAGCTTAAGATTCAGAAAGGTACATTTGTTTTTCTGTCTGTTTGTTTGTTTGTTTTTGAGACAAGGTCTCACTACATAGTCCAGGCTGGCCTTGAATTCACGGCAATCCTCCTGCCTCAGTTTCCCAAATGCTGGGATTATAGGCATGAGCCACCACGCCCAGCTCATTACTGTGTGACCTTACACATTTGTATAAAGAACTCAGGAGTTACAACTGTCATTCTACCCCTCATTCATGTCTAGATTCCTTATACATTTGTATAAGGTCACACAGTAATGGGGCATTAGAGCTAGGATTTGAGCCTAAAGGTGTCTGATTTTGAAACTGGCTCCTAATATGTCACAGCTGGCCACAGTTCAACTCTGATTCCAAAGTCTATATTCTTAGCTAGGGCTGGGGATTTAGCTCAGCGGCAAAGCGCCTGCCTAGTAAGCGCAAGGTCGTGAGTTCGGTTCCCGCACCGGAGAAAAAAACAAAAAAACAAAGCGATTTGATTTGTTATATTCTTAGCTGGTCATGATGGCACATGTTTGTAATCCCAGTACTCAGGAAGCTGAGGTAAAAGGAGCACCATGAGTTCAAGGGCAGCCTGGACTACACAGTGAACTCAAGGCCAGCCTGAGCTACACAGTGAGACCCTGTCTCAAAAAAATAAATAAATAGAATAAAAAAATAAAAAAAGTCACATGTACTCTTTCAATGTAGTGTACTGACACATTCCTACCCAGGGTCACTGTGAAGCATGACAAGACCATGGTTAGAGGTAAAAGACGTCGTGACAGTTGCCAAAGCAGGGCTAGCAGGCTGGGATAAACCCACACTTTTCCAGACTGTCAACAGGGAGAAACAAGGATGACAGTAAGAAGGTCAGTAATAAGATCCTCCCAATTTTTTTCTTGTTTTTTTGACAGGGTCTCATGACTGCTGGGATTGCAGGCATGCGCTACCACACCTGGCTGCTACCCCCTTCCTTGGGGACGGCAGAACTGTGCTGTGCAGTCACCTGGGAGCAGGCCACATAGAAACTGTCAGCATTGGAGCTGTGTACTGGGGACTCTCTTCTGGAGCCTCTCTCTCCTCTAGCACTAGACAGAGGACACGGTGCTGTGTGCAGAGCACTAGGCAACCCTTGAGCCAGGACCCAATCAGAAGGTAAGGCAAGAACCAGAGCTCACCTGACATTGGCTTTGTCTACTCCCATCCCAAAACTGATGGTTGCAACAATTACAGGGACCTTCTCCTCCATCCACTCATTCTGCACTTGTGTCCTATCAGAAGCCTTCAGCCCTGGAAAGGAAGGGAAGGTGGAAAAGGGAACTCACATTCCCCATGAGTTTACCCTCTGGGGTTTCTATTAGGTTTGACACTATACTGGGCACTTTACACACACCCTGAGCCCCTCTATTCCCAGCTGTATGCCCTTGGGCTGGGCACTTACCCTCATGGAGCCTCAGCTAGTAGCCCATGTGAAGCACAGAGTATTCAGTAAACGTTAAAGCCAAAATTAAAACTCAAGTCCATTAGCCTCCAAAGCTTGTGCTCTTCCAACCTGGCTTTTTGTAATACTTAGGTGTATAAAAACTCATCACCTGCTATTGGGTGGGCACAGAGTGGGAAAAAGAACTGAGGAGTCACAACTATCATTCTAGCCCTCACTCATGTCTAGCCTCCTTTTTGTTGATTTTAGTTAATCATTTAAGCTCTACAGGAGTATCTGGAAAAAGATAATGGGCCACTTGATTATCCAGGCTCCACAAGAGACCGCCAAGTGGCCTCCAAGAGTGAAAAGGACCATGAGGCCTTACCTGCGTGATAAGCCTTGGCATTCACACCTCTGCTACTGAGCTCTATGGCCAGCTGTTCACAAGCCTCTCTAGTTCTGCAGTAGACAATGCCGCAGCCAGACAACTGAACAGGGAGATGTGAGAAGAAAACAAGCATGGCAAGGGAGAACAATTAGCCTACTACCACATGGCCTGTTTTAAAAGAAGCTCTGTACTTCCTCTTGTCAACTTCCCAATCTCCTCTGAGGCAGTCACTCAGCAGAGCTCTGCCACTTTGTAAAAAGCAGGACCAAAGCAGCTTCAAATCTAACCTCTTTAACGCCTCTGCCTTGTCTCTGAAAACCCTATACAGGTCTCCAAAGGGCTCACACACAGAAACTGCCTGCTTGCCTTTCATGCAAGGATACAGGACAAAGGTACCCCAGTGAAGAGGACAATGCCAGGTAATGAAAGACAATTCTCTTTGTGTATAAGTTTGAGTAAACCTAGGTAATGAAGCTAGGAAAACCAAAGGTCTTCCAAAACTAGTATCATGTTTATGCTAGAGAGTACCTTGCCAGCCAACCAGCCACCACCTCCCACCTTTACTCACCCCTTTATGAGTCTTCTGTCCAAGAGCTTTAAGGCAGAAGTCCTTCAGGTTCCCATAAGGATCAGAAATCAGTTCCTTGAACTGCACATCATAGAAGAGGTTGGCCCGGAAGCAGGGAGTCTTAAAAGTAGCAACTGGTTTCTTCAAATGCAGCGCAGCAAACACATCCTCCTGCACTTGTGGGGTGGCTGTGGCAGTCAAAGCCACACACGGGGCATGTGCCAGGCGGGAGCGCAGGGCACCTAGACGCAAGTAGTCGGGACGGAAGTCATGCCCCCACTGGGAAACACAGTGAGCTTCATCCACCACCAAGTAAGAAAGCAGGTGGCGGGACACGAGGGAACTCAGGATGGGCTGGAAGGAAGAGGAAGCGGCCATCTCTGGGGTGATGTACAGAAGCTTGGTCTGTGGCTTTTCTCGCTCTAGGTCTGAGAGCAGCTCCTTCTTCTCCTGCACTGATAGCTTCGAGCTCAGAGAACTCACTTGTACCTTCAGGGCGAGCAAGTGGTCCACCTGATCCTGAGAACAGAAGAGGATAAGCCCAGAGGGGTATACCTGACTCTTAAGACCCAGCGCTAAATGTCATTGCCACTCCCTGAGAGATTGCCCAGTCATGAAAAGTCTTCCTCCCACCCTCTTAGGTGTCTTCTCTTTATGGAAAGTGATGTAGTTCATTAAGAGAACAGGCTCTGGAGTCAAACCTGGACCTACTTCTGCTCACTTAATTGCCATGGGCTTGCTGGCTGTTTAACCCAAGACTCAGTTTTCTCACAACCTACTATAAATATAGTAACAAACAGAATTGTGGCAACAGTTAAATGAAACTTTACATCTCAAAAGTGGTATATGAAGCACTTAGCACAAAGCTTAAGATCTATAGTTAGCATTCACTATTAACTGTTGTTCCCCATCAGTCTACCTTTTTTCCTGAGGTCTTAACCACATGGCCATATTTCCTTTTCAGGGACCAGCCTATGTGATAGATTATGGGAGCCCAACTATGTGACTTAACCCACACACACAGTTTTGAGGTCAGTGTGACCTTACTTCAGAAACAGGGAGGTATACTAAGGCCACGTGCCCCCAGGTCCCAGCTCCCAGCCATGGGTAGAATGCTAATAACTCCAACTCATGAAGCAAGATAGCATCTGCTATGGACAGCTGTCAGAATACAGGCATTTGGGTTTACAGAAAATCTGGTTCCTCATTAACTTAATCCTTATTCACCCATTTTCTAAGTTATTGTTCTATGAACCAAGTGCTATCCCTCCCCCTGCACTTCTTGATAGCAAATAAAAGCCAGCCAACCACAGAAGTAGCCCAGTAAGTCCACTGGAGGCAAACTCTTCCCCGTCCCCCTTGTATGTTGAAATTTGTCTGTACCTGAGGGTCTGATCAGCATCAGTACTTCCTCAATTCTAATTCTATAAGCCCATCTGCAGGCACTAAATATAGGCAGAGCAGATGTTAGTAAGATCTCAAACAATTTCTCGTATCTCTGTTCCTGTACCTGCTCCCTTGCCAAATAAAACAAGTCACCAAGGGGGGCTGGGGATTTAGCTCAGCAGCACAGTGCCTGCCTGCCAAGTGCAAGGTAGTGAGTTCGATTCCTGGTACCGGAAGAAAAGCAAAAAAAAAAAAAAAAGTCACCAGGGACTCTGCATTTCAATTTAGCTATCCATCCACTTGTATCTTCTAACATCATGAGTGCACATGCGTGTACACATAAGAGCAAGTGTGTTTACGTACAGATACTGTTCCATACTTCTCTGGACAAAAAACAACAAAGGAGGGTAAGGAATGTCAGGTGATCAAAGCACAGAAGACTCATTCATGAACCACAAAGTGATACACACTAGTGAAAAAACCTACATTTGGGCAATTCAAACATCTATCATAGAGGGTCACAAAGACAAATCAGAGCAAAGAGAAAGGCAAAGACCAAATAAAGGAGATTTTAAAAAAGCCTTCCCATCATCTTTTTGGGCTACTATCTTCATTCCCCTAACCCTCACCTGAATCAACGCAAGGAGAGGAGAGATTACAATGGTGATGCCTTTGGCCAACAGCGCAGGCAGCTGATAGCAAAGGGATTTTCCAGCCCCCGTGGGCATACACACAAAGACATCCTTGTCACCTGCAAAAAAATACAAGAAGATAACATCTCACTGCTTCTTGCCTTTTCATTAAAGTTGCTGAAAATTAAATGAGAATGTAAGAAAAGGACCTGACAGTGTCTGGCACTTCAGAGGGTCTCACTATCATGTTAATTTCCTTCCCATCCTTTACATGAAAAGGAAAGGGAAACGGAGATTCGGAAATGTGTGCAAACTACTTCTGGTAATGGCAGTAAAAACAAGGGTAAGATGTCTGAGTCTGTAGAAGATGGGTGATTGAATGAAACAGCCATGAACGCAGAATACTACTAGGGAGTGGGCACATCTGTGTAGACAGGCAAGGACATCACTTAGAGGTCTTTTGTTTATAAACCTATCACTAATATTATACGGCTGCTCCCTTCTGAACAAGCTTCAATGGTCACCACCATATGTCCAGTTTAAAATACTGCTACTTCTTTCCCTATCTGGGATCCAGGCAACTCAATCTCCATTAAGGGGACCACCTAGGTCAATGGGTAGGTTAGACTATTAACGGCCACCCCCACTACTGCCCATACAGAAACAAAGAAAAACGAGAATCTAGGAACCCTTACAAAGACAATTTGTGGATCTGGCTATGAAAAATAAGACCCAGAATAGCTGAGTGGTTCTGCCATCAAAACACCAAGTTTAGCAGGGCCGACAGCACACAACTGCAATCCCAGCACTCTGGGAGTATGAAAAAGGATCTCAGGTTCAACCTCACTCTGGGCAACTTGGCAATTTAGACCCAGTCTCAACATAAAAGAAGGACTGGGGGTGAAACTCAGTGAGAAGGTCCTCAATTTAATCCCCAGTACCAAAAATTAAAAAAGCAAGCTTTGGTTGACAAGTCTAAAAGATTTCCAAAACCAGTTATGGACCGAGGGTGAGAAGGTAGGAAGAGAGGTTCTGCCGCACTGCTATGGTACAGCCAACAGAAATTTAAAGGCAGGGAGTTTGATAATGTTACCTTTTACTACAGCCATGGTCGCCCTCTCCTGTAAAGGCGTCTTAAAAGAGTCAAACCCAAAGACCTTCTTCAGCGCGCTCCGGACTCGCCGCTCAGGGTCAGAGGGAGTGGAAGGGTGGGTGCTCATCTTAGCGAAAAGCAGTGGCCAAAAGTTAAAGCAAAGGTAGTAAAGACTGGCACCAGAACCCTCTGTTTTGCTATTTAAATACAGCTTAATTTTTCTTCTGCAAATATAAATCTGCTACATTGCACTATAGCAATATATTTTGTTTCAAGTAGTAAAGCTGCAGAGGAATTGCCTCAAGCATATATTCCTGAGTGATTAATAAAAACTGAGCTATCCAAGGCTATACAGTATAGCACAGTTAGAAATCAGATCACGAGAAGAAACACAAATATCTCCGGGATAGTTTAGAGAACATAGAATCGTTGTTCTAAGATCCAGCTTCTACACGCGCAGTCACGACGACCGTCCCCATCAATCCCAATCCCTTCACTCTCCTTCCTCTTGAGCCCCGGATCCAGTTCTCTCTCTTCACTACCGACGACTCTTCGCTCCCAAGATACCACAGCCGGCCGCGGGCTGCCCGAGAAAGGACTCTGGCCCAGCCGCTGCGGTCCCCTGGTCCTGCCACTACGCCAAGGTCCCTATACAACACCCTGGGCTCAGAAGCCAAACTGCTGGAAACTCCAGTCAGGAAAAACCCACACAACCTTCTATTCGTCGCGCAAAGATGACGTTGCCCGAGAGGCGGGCCAAACTCAAAAACGGCCGTTTTGATTGGTCTTCAGTTTCCTGTTTGGGCCTCCTGAGATCCGGAAGAAGTTGCCTTTCGGTGCAGAAGTCACCCTCTTGAGTCATATGTGTGAGCCACGCCGGGGCTGTGGGATATAAAATGGCGGGGAAGAGGAATGTGCTGTCGTCTTTGGCAGTTTACGCTGAAGATTCAGAGCCCGAGTCTGATGGTGAGACTGGAGTTGAGGCTGTCGGCAGCGCGACTGGTGAGGCTCGAGTGGAAAGCTGGAAAAGGGAATCGAATGTCTGCCCAGGATGATGCTCCCTTATCGTAGTGCCGAGAAAGAGATGTTCATTGTGTCCCACGTATCGGGTCCCAGAACCGAAGCGCAGTCGAGGTCATCCTGGTTTAGATAGAATACTAGAGGATTTGTAGTAAGAAGGAGTCTTCTCCCTGTGTTTCTTTTTCTGCTAAAACTTCTTGAGAAGCTGATGGACTAGAGGATAGGTATTCACTATTGGAGCGTCGCTCCCTATTCCCTTCACCTAGTTGTTTGATGGGGAAGAGAGATGAGTAGAACATATGTGATGGATGATAAGGTTTGTCTTAGTAAATTGGTAACTTTTAATTTGGAACGTGTCCTAAACACATCTTGGAGCTTCTGGCTTGTTCTTCAAAGTGAGTAATTCTGTACGTCTGGGATAGACTATGGACATTTGTAAGTTATTGAAGGCTTTTAGGTCATTTTGTTACTCTGTGAATTTTTAAAACCCATCAGTAGCCCGGCGTGGTGTAGCACATCTGTAAT